GCAGTTATTTTTTCTGTTCATAATTACAGAGGGAGCTTTTTATTTTTAAGGCTGTTTTTAAACATTTGAAAGTATTCTGTGAAATCATTTCTGTTTGTTTTTTTTTTTTTTTTTTTTTGTATTTTTTTTCCTTTAACTGAGTACTTAAAAAATCTCTGGAAAACAAATACCCAAGAAAAAAAAAAAAAAAAGAAAATACATTAAAATAAGGAATAATGCAGTTACTGAAGTGTAATAATCCCGGTTTATAGCACACTTCCATTTCAATTGTTTTTATTAGAGATAAACCTGTTAAGCATTGAGGAATTAAGTGCTGAATAGAGAAAGTTGTTTCATTGGGGTATAAATGAAGGATCCCAGTATGTAAAAAAGACCATGGCTGGTTTTACAAGTGAATTATTTGCGAGTTTGAAGGTCTTCGGCTATTTCGGCATCTCTTGTAAAAATGATGATTTGCTTGTTGTTAAGAGGGATGCTGCTTTTTTCAGAGGGATGAGACATTTTAGTAATGGTGTTTGTAGGTATTATGGGCTTTCCCAAAGTCTTTAAACGGTTTGTTAGAAGGAGCTCGAAGACAAAATGAGGCAGAGGGATTTGGGGGAACTTGTTGGCATTGTTGCTGATCCACAGACTCCTGGCTTGCAGTCACACCCAGTGTGTTGGGACAATATTGACAAGGAGCAGGCTGCAATCCCAGGTATCAGAAGTCAGTCCTGGTGTGAAGCTGTCCTCATCCTTCAGGGCTGGGGGAAAGGAAAATACGACATAGCACTGAGTCTCAGCATCGGCTTTCAGACAGCCCGCACTGGGAAATTTCATTCAAACACTGCAAATTGGAAGCCCCCACAATCGCTATGTCAATTCCTGAGCAAAAGTGACTTTGGAAACTTGTGACAGCGAAGGAAGGCCTTGTTTTATTCACTAAACAGAACTGAAATACAAGGGGAAGAGAGAAAGAACAGATCTATGCAGAAAATGTCACCGGGGCTGTAACCTGAGCCCTGCGAGCTGCGCCTTTCGGAGGGTTTTGTGACCCTACGAAAATACCCGCTCTCTGGCTGCTATTATTGTAGGCAATTTCCAAATAAAATAGTCTTTTGTCATCACCAGCCATGCCGCCCCTCGCTGAGAAGAAACAAAACTTGTGCGTCGCGACGAGGGCGGCCAAGCTGAAGGTCAGAGTGCAGCGGCGGATCGCGGCATCGCGGGTCCGGGGCTGGCTCTCACCCGTGGGACCAGTGACAGAGACTGCCGGTGACCTCTGGGGACAGACCCAGGGCACGAGAGCTAAGAGAAAACATCCTAGAAAAGTGCAAATGGCACAAAAGAGGGTTTCCTGCATCTTCACTTGGGGGTTAGGCAGGTGGAAGAGCTCCTTCTTGCTCGCCTGTCGGGATGCGGTGGAAGGCATGATCTCACGTTCCCAAAAGGGCAAGGAAAAGTTAACTTTAAAAATAATCATAAATACCATCATCTTTAAACTTCTGTGTTTGCCCAACTGTTCAAACGGTTCCTCCATGTCAGATCCTCCCCCTTGCAAAAAGAGAAAAAACAAAACAAAACAAAACACAAAGCAAGCCAAAGCATAAGAGCAAGTTGGGAGTATGTGGTTTTGCAGAGTTCTCTGGGAGATGGGTACAAGTTGTCGTTCTCTTTGTGCCACTATTGATTCTGCTCTTTGGGGAGAAAATAAACAAAAACCAAAAAGCACTCCCACATAAGAGTGCATAGAGCAGTGGCGTGGGGGAAGCACACCCTTCGTGCAGCCTTTGAGCCTGTGTGAATCTTTACTCACCCGAGTAAGATTGTTCTGGGGTTTTAATCGTGACCTTAAATTTTATGCTTAGTCGTATTTTGAGAAGACTGCGTATGAGTAGCTCTTAATATGTGAATACCTTTTTTAGGTCCTGATTCCTCTGAACTTTTAAAAATTAGAGTGAATCAGGGTTTCTTTCCCTTAAGATAGGTGAATGTGAACGTAGAGGAAAAGGGGCAGTGAGAGTTTTCCTCTTAGCTTTTCTGTTCCACTGGTTTTGCTGATGTTACATCAACACAGCACTTTGGAAATTCAAAGAGCAATCAAAACGACCCTTCTAACAAAGAAAGCAACAGAGAGTACGAAGAAATTATCCCCATGCCCGTGGATTTCTGCAGCCACAGCTAACTCACAGTTTTGCTTGCAAAGAGTTCTCGGATGTGATTTATAAACGTAACGGCACTGCGTTGTGTTGTCTCAAGGCAAGACACATTAATAGTTTTAATCTGATGGCTTCTTATGAATTCCAGGTTTGGGATGCAGGAAGAAACTTGAAAGTGAATACTTTTTTTTTTTTTTTTTAATGCATAGTAGTTTGGAGTCTACTATAATGCAAAGTAAAGCGTTCTGTTACAAAGGCAGGGAGGATGGGACAGAAGGTTAAAGGGCATCCTGGAAACAAACAGCTGGACCAGTTTATTTAAACAGATACAAGGATGGGGAGCTGACCTCGGTTTGACTTCTAGTGGGAGGAGCAAGAATGTCATTTTATTACTTTGCCCAGAAGGAAAATGTTCTTGCGTCTGAATTCACCCTGAAGACATCCAAACACAGGGCTGGTTTGCAGATCAGCTACTTATAAAAAATACTTATAGGAATGCGTAGGAAGAAGCTAACTATTAAGTACCTGTGTGTAAAATGTTCTTAAAGCAGACGTCCTAAGTGATAATATGGGGCAAACAGGTGAAAAGAGGTTTTACTGCAGCCACATCTTTGGATGATTATTGGCAAATTCCAGCTGCATGGTTTATTGGAAGGAGAACCTCATTCTTCCCGAAAGCACTTGGAGGGGAAGGTTGTGATGTTTGTGTGGCTGCTCAGGGTTTCTTTTGGGTTTGGGGGAAAGCTTTTGGCAAATGAAGGTTTCAGTGAGCAGCCCCAAACCCACCCCAATAAGAGGGCCAGGGAATGGGGCATTTGGGGGAAGGAGTGAGCACAGCGAGTGCCTGCCAGGCGTGCAAAAAGAAATGGCTGGGGTACCAGGGTTTTGTGTTGTTGTTTTACTTGGGAGAGTTACTGTGAAAATTGCTTTCTGCAAATGCAGATTACAGATATTAAACAATTTTCTAATTGGTCATGGCGCTAAGGCAGCTAATGGGGGAAAAAAGCAGATTTTTTTAATTGCTTATTTCACATGGTGTTTGTGCTACACCTGTGCTTATAATGAGAAAGGAGAATTAGTCTAACCTTCTGCTCACATGATTCTAATTTTCATGGTTTGTACAAGATAATGATAAACTGATTTGCAACACCGTTTGCTGAGTTGAAGGGTGTTTTTTTTGTTACTGGGAGTGTGTACAAAAATTGATACAATACTGTTGCTGACAAAACATGACCTAGTTCAGGTGTAAGGTTTCCAGCACGGCGCCTGGAATTTGTGCCTTTGTGCGGTGGAACATTTTGAGCCCGTTTGGTCGAGACAGCCTTGATTAGGGCCCAACATCTTGATTAATTTTTGCAGGAGCTTTTGCATAATGGGAAGCAGCCAGGAAGGGGAGATAGGAGGAACCCCAAATTGCCCCTGCTGGTCTTTGATGACGGCAAAACAAACAGCCCCGTGTGGTGTTTTGTGATGGTTATCCTGGCCGGTGTCAGGGAAGGGGTGGGCACCGTGGTTCCTTTGGGAGCGTCCCGGTGGCTTTATCTCTGCTGTAGGAGAGCTCTTGCTAAGCCACAGCAAGGAAAGGCAACAAAACCAAGCTCCAAGTATCCCTTTGTGTACTTTAGCACTACGTTTTGCAAAGCGTAGCGTGGTTTTACCCGTGCTCACGCTTCTTCCTTTCCTAGTAAATATTGAGGAATACATGTTTTTGTTATTATTTCTCTCTTTCAAAGAATGTAAAGTCTGGTTAAGAGGCTTTGCCATAGCGTAATTAAATCTCGATGGAGATTTTTTCCAAATGGTTTTTAACTAAGCTTGCTGATTAGCAAAACCACAAGAGAAGTTCTTCTAGCACTGCTGGGACAGGTTTCCAGCCATGCTTTTGAGACTCCTGATTTCTGTGCCACCAGGACTACACACTGAGGAGACTGGGGGCACTTGTGATCTTTCCCCTCATTCTGTTTTGCTCCAAATTTTTTTGAGTATTCCTTCCCCAAATAGGCATTACAAGACCCAGGCGAAGAGCTAAAAAAAACCACGAGGAGTACAGTTGCAGAGGACTGTTTTTAAAACCGACCGTACCTTTTTTATTTCCAAAGATCTGCTTTTCATTGTTCGTGGGGAATTTTCAGTAGTCCAGTAATTACAGTTTAACAAGATGTTTGCTGTAAATGGTCAGGCCTAGCTGGAGAAAACAGGATTATAAATTCAATTACTGTAAAGCTATGACCTCGCCTTGACCCCTCAGACTTTGCATAAAGAGAGGAGGGGGGGGTAAAAACCCACCAAGAAATGGCTACAAGGAATGCAGGGCTCTGAAGTCCCCAGCAGTGTGACTTAGTGGTGATAAAACTCCAGACGTTCCCTCATTTGATGGTGTTCTGCCATCACAGTTCATTATCTTAATAGTGGGCATTAAAAGAGAATTAGGTTTGCAAGAGGTAGGGGAAGGTTTTGATAAAAAAAAAAAAAAAAAAAAAGTGGAAAAAGGAGGACATAAGACAGAAATGTCACTAATTAGGGGGAGGTAGCAGATGCCCTTACGAGCATCCCTCCGTCGCCACCCGGTTTTTGTGCTCCGCTCTGAATCGCGAAGAGTGTTGCTGGTATTGTTTCCTGAAAACTCCGCTAATTCCCCCATGAAAAGATGAAATGGAAGTGTCCGACTGTGGTAAAAGCAGGCAAACATAAATCAGCTCGGAAACCCCAAGCCTGTACTCTCGGAGGTCACCAGGGGTTGCGGGGTTGGCTGTGTCTGAAGCTGCGCGCAGCCCAGTTGCGAGCCCCGCGTTGGGGCGCGGGCTCGGGGACGGCTGGAAGTCGCCCCCTCCGTAACCGTTTGCTTCCCTCTTTTTGTTGCAGGTTTATTAATGCTAGAAGAAGAATAGTTCAGCCCATGATAGACCAGTCCAATCGAGCAGGCAAGTCCCCAGTAGTAACCGTATTCGAGTCACGCAGGCAAAAACCATCCTCGAGCCATTCACCGGGAGGTCCATTACCTGGTAAATAAATGAGAAATGAATGCTGGGAGTGATTGACAATTAAAATAAAACCAGCTTTGTCTCATTGCAAAGCTGATAGTTTTAACACGATGAAAATATTTTGGGAAAAATAAAATGAAATTCAAAGAAGAAACTCCCAATTATCCGCTCCATGACCGGACTTTCTGAGCACATTCGGAATTAATGTTGTTCTTATTTTTTTTTGCATTTGTTTTGAGTTTTCCTCCCCAGCTCTTGCTGCTCCTGTGACCACTCCCTGGTGCATGGCTTGGTGTGGAATTGCTGTAAACTTTATTACCTGTCAAAAGGGCAAAGGGGTCAGAATCGCTTGTGGGACTCAGTAAAGTTCAAAGACATTCAATGAGGTAGAGCTTTATGTGCTTTAATAACCCAAGGCAGCTCACTTCTGAAGGCAGCTTTTAATGTACAGTTAAAACCTACGGTTCAGGTAGCGGGACTCGGGTACGGTCCTTTTGTCTCTCGTCTCTTCCTTTCGGTATCTGCCTTTTGGGATCCCAGAGTGGTTGGGTTTTCCTTTGGGGGGATTTATTTTTTAACCCAAAGTTTTGACGTGCCAGTCCTGCCTGGGATCTTGGCTCGCAGCTCCGTGTGGGTATTTGGCATTACCCGGGGTCCGTTTGGTTTTCTCAGCCTCCCTGCCCAGCTATCCGCGTCCGTCGCTGTCAAAGACGCCTTTGGGCGACGTGCTCTCTCCGAGCACATTTGATTATTTTGCCATTAGAGGTAAATCTCTGGCACGGACGTGTTCAGGTCCTGCTCTTGTAAAAGCGCACGGGCGTAATTTAACACACTGGGATTTCAGTGTGACTATTCTGGCCATAAAATCCGGCTCCTATGCAGGTCTTGGCATTGACGTCAGCAGCGGCAGCAGCTGGAGCGGGGGCTCATCGCGTCCCGATATTTCTGATGGCCAACTTCATTTATTTCCAAACTCACGGGAGGAAATTAAGCCCAAACTGCGCGAGCTTGTTAGTGCAGCCGCCTGATTTGAACCGTAGATGGTTTTTTCCCCACTGGCAGTCATCCTTGGGGTCCTTAGGCATGGGGCAAGGACTATGTGCGGCCGCGAGGCAACATGAACCCTTTTGAGCGTTGTTAAAAAAAACAAAAAACCCTCTGCGCTTTTCCAGTAAGTCAAGGCACACCCTACAACCCCGACGGGCAGCCGATGGGAGGCTTCGTGATGGACGGCCAGCAGCACATGGGCATCCGAGCGCCAGGTAAGCCCCGGGGTAGTGTTGGGCATGGATGGGCGACCGCCGCCACCGCGCCGCCGTCCTCCGCCCTCGTCTCAGCTGCCTCCTCGCCTCGCCTCGCCTCGCCTGTCTTCTGCTCGCCTTCAGCACCGTCGAGGGAGAGCGGGGAGCTTCTCCCTCGCAATTGCTCCTCGCCCCTGCGGAAGGCTGCGGTGTGGAAAGGGGGCTTTCGGCACTATCTGTTGACTTTGCTCATTCTCTGGCATCTTCTCGGATTTTTATCTCCCTCTAGGACCTATGAGTGGAATGGGCATGAATATGGGCATGGAGGGGCAGTGGCACTACATGTAACCTTCACCTAGGTACCCAATGGCAAAGCCAGGGGGAAGTAAGTACAAATGGGGTCTTTGTTCTCACTTTGTTCCAGGGATATTTTTTTTTCTCCGTGCATTTCCCAACGTTCTCCCTGCCCATAGCTTCATGCTTGTTCATTCCTCTCCGTCCCGCGCCTGGGCTCCTTCGGTTCCTTTTCCCTTCCCTCTGGCTCAAGCCAAGCTTGCCGGGCCGCGCAGCCCCTGCGTGTGCTGTCCGCGGGTGCCGCGGCGCGATGCTATTATACAGCACTGACCACATGACGAAACGAGCAGCAGCCGGGAGGTGGGGGAGCCCGTCGCCAAGGCAACAGACTGATTTGCAAAATGTAAGCAGTCTGCAGCAGTGCAGGGAGAGGAAAGAGCATGTCCCCAAAGTGTCATAAATCTGTCTAACCGCAGTTGATGCATGAGTTACATTTCTACGCTAACCTGCGAGACACCAAAAAGCCAAACAGAGACTTCTTTTAGGTAAAATAAACAGCAGCTTCACTTAGGGCGAGTTACGTTTTGGAAGGCGATCAACGAAACTTTGATTTTTTTTCAAGTTTATTTCTCTTTGTCTGTCCATCATAATGGGATTACGTGTGGCAAAGGAAAAAGAGAGAATACAAAATAGAGGTGTGCACAGCAGGCTATGGAGCTTAGCCCAGGCTAATTGACTATATCCAAATTAAGTATGCCATCACTTGCAGTGTGACAAATGGATTTGACTTATTCAGTATACAAAAATAGAGATCATTAATGCAATCTTCAGTGGCAGGCCTCGTGAAGAAAGCCTAGAAAAACTGTCCCAGATTTTTTTTTTTTTTTGGCTCTTGTCTTTTTATAGGGGAAAAGACATACACATTTATTTTTTTTTAATTTAAAAAGTAAAGCAGTTTGAAACACTGAGGCACCGATACCATGTTTAAATCCGATACCATGTTTAAATGATGCTCAATTCTGTTTCTCTTGCTTTGTTTCTGGAGTTAAAAGCAGTTATTTGGGCATCTTTGTCGTGCCTCTGCTTCTATTAAGGGAGCGTTTGAAGTTACCAAGGCCAAGTGTGTTTCGGAGTTGTCTTCTCTGGGCGCGAGTCAAAAATAAGTTTCAACAATTAGCTGTGAAAACATTCCACCGAGCTTGGGAATGCAACAGCCTTATTACCTCATCATGGAAATTTCTAGCTTAGTTAATTTAAATATTGTTTCTTAGTTTCTGGGTCAATTAAATTTAAATGATGTATTTTATGCTTCGTGACCAATTAAATTAATAGGTTATTACAAAAAATATTATCATCTTTTTTGATTAAAGAGCTGTGAGTACAGTATATTTTATAAGCAATTTTCATTAGTTCAAAAATGTTCCTTTAGGCTAGATTAAGCAGCTATTCATTGCTAGAGCCTTGAGACCTGATTCCAAGGTGTTCAGAGCATTCACGGCGCACTATTACTTAGAACTAAAGCCAATTGAACCTACTTAGCAATAGCGTATGCCTTTCACCCTTGATGATTATGGAGCTTATAGCTCTCCGAAACAATACACCTGTCAGTTCCCATCAGCTATAGCAATCCAAGCAGAAGGCAGAGGCCCACGGAAAGCAGGAGGTTTTATTGTTTTAGGTCCAATTTTTCTTATTGTTCTCCCAGCCACTGAAAGGTTGACTGAGTTGCGCGTCTGATTTTTTCAGACAGAAGTGATCGCAGGGAAAGAATTAATTGATAACTGCCATTGATTTTTTTTTTCCACGTGTTTAAAAATACAGGTTTGATTTAACAATCGTCCTTAGTAATCCTATCAATTTCAGCTTCATATGAGGCCTTTGTTCAGCAGCGTATGCGCTCGCTGTACGGCCCGTCTCTCACTGGCGAGAACTCTTGGGACAGATTCGGAGTAGCGGGGCTCGAGCGCCAAGCAGATAGCTGCTGATAAGGGCTCCCCCTTGCCAGGCCAGGGCTGCTGCCACTTAGTGCCACCGCCCCGGGTGACATCAGCCATCAGCAGGCCGGCTCTGCCCCCAGCACGATTTTGGATGGGAAGCATCTCCGTGGCACGTGGAGCACAAAGCGCCCACCGCCCCACGCAGAAGCAGTCCCCCCGCCACTCACCCCCGCCTCTTTCTCTCCGCAGGGCTGCAAAGTATGCCAGGGGATTATGTGTCTCGGGGTAGTCCAATGGGTATGAACATGGGACAGCCAAGCTATACCCCGCCCCAGATGCCCCCCCATCCTGCTCAGCTGCGTCATGGCCCCCCCATGCATACCTACATTCCTGGACACCCTCACCACCCAGCGATGATGATGCATGGAGGACCACCCCACCCTGGAATGCCCATGTCAGCATCAAGCCCCACAATGCTTCATACCGGCGAGCCGGCAGTGAGTGGACAAGTGATGGACATTCATGCTCAGTAGCTTAAGGGAATCCGCGTTGTCTGCAGCGGCGGTAGATTTCAAACATTGTCTTTCTGCAATGACTATGGAGTTCCGTTCTTGGCGTCGACTTTGGACCAAGGGACGTTCCTATTCTTCACAGGGACCCTGACAAGCAGGAAAACACCAACTGAAGTCAACTTCTGGGGACAAGCTAAATACCTATATAAGACATTAAGAGAACAAAGAGTGAAATATTGTAAAATGCTATTATACTGTTATCCATATTACGTTGTTTCTTATAGATTTTTTAAAAAAAATGTGAAATTTTTCCACACTATGTGTGTTGTTTCCATAGCTCTTCACTTCCTCCAGAAGCCTCCTTACATTGAAAAGAAGCCTTACACTTATCCTGCAAATGACAGAAAGGGCTTATTTGCAGGATTTTTAGAGCATTAAAATAACTATGTCAGGCAGAAGAATCTTTCTTCTATCCTAGGATTTCAGCCATGCACACTCTCTCTCTCTCCTTTCCTCCTCCTCCTCCTCTCTCTCCCCCTTTCTCTCCCTTTCTCTCTGTCTCTCTCTCTCTCTCCCTTTCTCTCAGTCTCTCTCTCTTTCTAGCCTGGGGCGTGAATTTGCATGTCTAATTCATTTACTCACCATATTTGAATTGGCCTGAACAGATGTAAATCGGGAAGGATGGGAAAAACTGCAGTCATCAACAATGATTAATCAGCTGTTGCAGGCAGTGTCTTAAGGAGACTGGTAGGAGGAAGCATGGAAACGGAAAGGCAGTGTATTTGAAGCCTAATTGTCACATCAGAGCATCATTGTCCCCATGCAGCAACCACCACCTTGTACATCACTTCCTGTTTTATGCAGCTCGAAACATGGACTGAAGATTTATTTTTAATATGTTGACTTTCTTTCTGGGCAAAACATCAGTCGTGTGCATTTTTCCATAGTCCCATCATGGAGCATTTATGTATACATTGTAAATAAATTTTGTGCAAAAAGGACTGGAAAAATGATCTGTATTATTGCAATTTTTTGTAAAAGTAGCAGTTTGGTATGAGTTGGCATGCATACAGATTTACTAAGTGGGATAAGCTAATTATACTTTTGTTGTGGTTAAACAAATGCTTGTTGATAGCCTTTTTCTATCAAGAAACCAAGGAGCTAATTATTATTAATAATAATCATTGCACACTGAGTCTTAGAGTTTCTGATTGAAACAGTTTGGATTGTATAATAACTCAAAGCCCAGTTGTAGTAGTTTGAGTGCAGTAATGAAATCTGAATCTAAAATAAAAACAAATTATTTTTTGTCATGGTGACTCCACTGCTTGCAAAATTTGTTTCCTGCCCCACTTCAGTATTTGTAGCGATTCCCTCCCAAATTGTGAGCCAGGCAGCTACAAAACTCATCTAGCTCCAGAGATGTACCTATAATTTTGCTCTTTAAATATCAGCTTCATATTTAAATAATGTAAAAGTGACGCTATGCTGCGTAAGGACACTCTGAATTTGCACTGTAAATTGTCAGGATGGTAACTGTTGCCTGTTAATAAATGTAATGCCGTAGGGCATTAGCTCTCCTCAGCATATTGGGCAGAAATTTGTAAATAGTATTACCCCCCTCCAAATAATAATAATAACAAATAATTTGCAGTTCTAACACGCAGTTTTAAATACTCCAGCCATCATTCCATCTCTTGCTGGATCTGAGCGTACTGAAGAAATAGGAAAATAAAACTTTGGAACCCTTGGCCAGGCAGTGCCTGTTTGTGAGCGAGCGCAGTGCTGTCACCAGGGGCTGGGGGCTGCTGGCCCCCGCTTCCACCCAGCCAGCAGGGTGGTGGGGCTGCCCGAGCCCAGCTTTCCTTCAAAATAGGGTCATAGCTCCTAAAAATGAAATTAAAAAAAAAAAAAATCAATTAAAATTGAATTCCTGCAGGTAGGAACAAAATATATAAATACTGTAATAAAGGCAAAATCGTGCACCCAGGTGGGGCTGGGGGCACCCAAGGGGCAGTGCCCGGCCCGGGGGGGTCCCCAGCAGGCCGGGGGGGCAGGCAGGGAAGCCCCCAAATTGGGGTCCTTTCCCCACTCAGCTCGCACCTCTTCCCCCTCTTTAAAGATTAAAAAAAAAAAAAATCTCTCAGTTTTCTTCCGCCCCCCCTTTTTTTTCTTTTAAAGGGCCGATAGGAGGCTGCACATCTCAGCTCCCGCTTTGGGAGCCGGGCGTAATGACACTTCTCTGCCAAAAAGTGAATGAACGGGGCTTGCTTTTTGCCTTTTTTTTTTTTTTTCTTCCTTTTTTTTTTTTTTCTGGTTTTGTTTTGTTTTGTTTTTTTAATGTTTCTTGAAAGACAAAAACAAACCGCCCTCTTGCATGCGAGGGCACACGCGTCCCTTCCTCCCCGCAGAAGTGGGGCACAGACCTTCCTCCCTGGGACTTTTATTTTTTTTGGGGGGGCACATTTCAAATTAAAACCACTATTATATCCCAAGACATTTAATCAGCTGTAATTATAACACATTCAAAATGAAGAATATGCCTTGACAGTATTTTTATTGTTATTGTTCATCGCATGATGTTAGACAGCTTCAGAGGCACAGGAAAGAGAAGTAAACGGGTTACAAATAGGGAATTATCCCTCGTTTAGCATTAAAATTCATTTAGATAAAATTGCCACAAACATTTAAATGGGGAGATTAGTTCCCCCTCACGCCTTATTGCACTCTCTCAATGGCTCCGTTAAGAACATTTTACACGTTGGAAATTCCGCCTTTTCGGGCCGCTCGCTGTTTCCTAGCTACCCTCCTTTCACAGCGCCGGGGGAGGCCGCCGGGGGGGCCGGGGGGGGGCCCGGCGGCGGCTCGGAGCTCGGCTGGGTCCCCGGGGGGGGAGGTTTTGGGGAGTGTTTTTGGGGGGCGGTGGGGATGCGCGCCCCGAGGGACTGCGCGCAGCGCTGCGCGGGGACCTGGGGGCGGCGGGGATGGCCGGGGGGGGAGGAGGAGGAGGAGGCGGAGGAGGAGGAGGAGAAGGAGGAGGTGGAGGAGGAGGAGGAGGAGGAAGAAGGAGGAGGAAAGCCGGTTTCGACTGCCATCTCTTGGGGGCTCGGGAGAGTGCCGCGGGGGGGGCTCCGCGGCCGCCCGCGCAGCGCCGGCGCAAAGTTTGCGCATCCCCCGGCGAGCCTTTATCCCCTCCTTTGATTTTTGATTTTTTTTATTTTCTCGCCCGTTTTTCTGCAGTGGCCACCCCTCTCCCCAGGGGCTGCCGGAGAAGGGCGGGGTGTTGACGATGTCTGCTTTTGGGCTAAGAAACCTCACTTTTCGCCCCTCTCCTGCCTGCCTGCTTCCAATCCCGGCCTCTGTTGCTCTCCGCTCGGCGCAGCGTGCAAAAACTGCGGGGTGGCCCCAAAAATAAAGCCACCCCCAACCTTCCACCCCCCCCCGGCTGCCGCCCCCAGCCCGGAGCGGGGCCGGGGCCGCCTGGGGGCGGCTGCGGGGCCGGGGCCCGGCCGCTTTGTGCGCGGAGCTTCCCTGGAAATAGCGGAGCGCCTGGGCGGCAGCTGCTGCCGGAGCCCCGAGAAACTCTTTGGGAAGAGCGGGGGAAAGAGTGAAAGGAGAAAGAAAGACTGTTCTTTTTTTTTTTTTTTTTTTTTCTTCCTTTTTTTTTTTTTTTTCCTTTGGTGCCATTTTGGATGTCATCTGTTACCTTGGTGACTGTGCTCAGCCCCCAAAGCCCCTGGATTGTTAGGAAAAAAAAAAAAAAAAAAAAAAAAAAAAGCCTGCTATTTCTGCACCGTCATTTATCACTGTCACCGCATAATGATTCCCCTCGCAGCTCCTTATTGATGTTTGTAATTGCATTATCTCATAAAGGGAGGGGGTGGCGGGCCGGGATGATCAATGGAGCCGCGCCGTGCATGCCGGGGTCAGGGGCTGCGGGGGGCTGCGAGCCCCCCCCGGCCCCCCCCGGGCCGGCACCGGAGTCCCGGGACCGCAGCCGGTGTGCGGGGCCCGGCTCCCCTCGGCGGGGCCGGCCCCGGGGGCACCGCGGCCCCAGGGGGGAGCTGGAAAAAAATAAAAAAATAAAAAAATAAAAAAATAAACAACCCTTAGGCTCCCCCCCGGGGGAAATTAAGGCGGCTGGAAAATGAAGAGGATGGGGAAAAAGGGCTCGGAAAATCCGCCCCCCTCCCGGGAGGAGCGGACAGATGAACGCTTTTTGGCCGGTACCTGCGGGGCTGTGATTTTCGCCTTTTTTTTTTTTTTTTTTTTTTTTTTTTACCTGTTTCTTTCAAAAGCGGAGGAGCCGCCGCCGCTCGGCCCCCGAAAGCAGCGCTCCCTAAAGCCACAGAGCCCGCGGGTGTCCCCCCCCCAAGGCCGCCCCCCTTCGCTCCCACCCTGCCCCACGAAGCTTCCCAACGAAGTACCACCAACTCCTTTCCCCCCATCCTCGTCGCACGCCCAAAACTTAAAAAAAGATTTCTTTCCCGGCCGGGTATCCCGGCGGAAAATCCCAAAAGGTTGCCCCCACCCCCCAAAATAAATAGAATAAATTATAATAATAATAAATAATAATAATGATCATTTTAAAAACCCACACATATGCAATATAGCACCAAAAACCGGGGATGCTGAGCCCGCCCCAAGCCCGGCACCCCCCGCAGCCGCCCCCAGCCCCGGGGCCAAGCAGATCCTGTCCCCCTCAGGCAAATCCTGACCCCCCCGGGGCAGCTGCCCCCCCCCCCGGGCCCAGCACCCCCCCGGCTCCGGGCTGTCAGCAGCGCGCTCCCAGCCTCGGTGGTTCTGCTCTCTCCCTGATTTTTTTTATTTTTATTTATTTTTATATTTTTTTTATCTTTCTCTATTTCCTCCAGGAATGAGAGTTGGCGCTACCGTTGGACTTGTAAAGAAACGCCAGTTGTCTGCTTTTACACAAACAGTCACGTTTCAAAATAAACTTTATAAGGATTCCAATTTTAAAGTAAACCAGTCGTCACGGCCAGGCAGCGGGGCGAAGACGTGCACTTGAAATCTGAAATGGGAACTAATCAAACTTAGCTATTTCTTCCCTTTCCTGGTCTGATAGTTTGCAATCTGGACTTCCATACTTTTAAAAAAAATAATATTTAGTGCCATAGCCCACGGTTAAAATAGTGAAAAATTAGTCTCGTTTCAGAAATTATTTATTTATAGAACGAACATGATTAAAACATAAAAAACACACAAACTGCAGCTGCAACAAAAAAACCCCACCGTGATTTACGATTATTAAATCTTTGATTGCCATGTTAATGTTTCTTTTTCTACCTTTCATTTGCATTTTAATCTATCGAATCTTTACAATTTTGCTGCCTCCTACTCGAATGATTGATTACACATCTGAAAGGAAAAAAAAAATCCTAAGCTTTCTGGGCGAGCTTCTATTTTTCCTCCCCCCTCCCTTTGCTGGTTAGCTTTCTGAAACCTTCCTCAACAATGTTAATGCAAGCAGGACAAATTAATTATGCTCTTTTAAATGTCAAAGGTATAAATAAAAACGCTCCCCCCACCCACCTCCCTCTCCTTTACCCCTCGCCCCAAATGGGAATATTTTTCCGAGCCGCTTGTTTTAAAAGCGAGAAGGAATCACCCTGGTAAAATACAATTAAAAGCAGCATACGCGCAGCATCGCGACTGTAAATAAATATTATTGCAGGGACATTTACCTGGGGGCTGTGGGGGGGGGGAAAGGGGCAGGGAGAGGCAGGGAGCGGGCGCAGCGGCAGCGCTTCCCTTCTCCGCTCGTCCCCAGCTTTGCCGCTGATCCCCTCCCTTGCCCCCCCTCAAAAAAAAAAAAATTGGGGTGGTTGGGGGCTGAGGGGTCCCCTCGGCTGGGGGAAGCCGGGGAAAGATGGTTATGGGGCACCCAAAAAGGTGCCACCTGCGGGGATGCGCCCACGGAGGGGAAACCCACGCGGGGATGCGCCCACGGGGGGTGCCCACCCGGGGGTGCGCACCTTTGGGTGCGCCCAGCTGGGGGTGTCCGGGGGGGGCACCCACCTGGGAGATGCTGATGGGGAGCAGCCGGGGGGGACACGGCTGCCTGGGGATGCCCACGGGGGGATGCCCACCCGGGGGATGCCCACGCGGGGGCATTTTGGGGGAGGCGGTGGAAAAGGAAAAGGGATGGGGGAGGCTCCGCACCTGCGGGCGGGGGGAGAAAACCTTGTGGGCAGACGGGGAAATTTAGGGGGAAGAGGCGGCGGGTTGTTGGGAGAGTAATGGTGAGGTGTCCCGCGGACTGCAGGTTTATTGTGGGGCGGTAACTCCTGGATTTATTTATTGCCGGGGCCATATAATAAAGATAATGACCGCAAACTCGAGATAAATGCTTACGCCCGTAGCTGGTCAATTCTTTTTTATTTGAGAGAGTGATCCGGAGAGGTGAAAGTCATCTTCTCCCGACCACAAATATCAGTCTTGGTTTCCACCACGTTATAAACACGCCATGCAAATAGCGGGGCCGCTGCCGGCCCGGGGGGGGCTGCCCCTTCCCTTCGCCTTCTGAGCACCCGCCGAGGGCAGCGCCCAGGCGATGCGCCGGGGAGAAGGGCTGCCCCATGGAGAAATCACATTGAAACAGGAAAATGAAGGAAAGTAAAATAAGGGAAAATAAAATAAGGTAAAATGAAGTATAATAAAATGAAGTAAAATAAAGTAAAATGGAATAAAGTAAAAAAAGTAGAAAAAGAAAAATAAAATGAAGTAAAATGAAATGAAGTAAAATAAAATAAAAATAAAATAAAATAAAAATAAAAATAAAATAAAAATATAAATAAGAAAGGAGCCGGTGGCCTTGGGGAAATGCCCCTTGCGATGGGGCACGGCAGCGGGAGCTGGGGCTGAGGGTTGGCCGCCGCACCACTATCCGGGGCTGCTCCCATCCTGCACGCCGGGAAGACACCTGACAGAGGTGCGGGGGGGTAAAGGGAGAGAAAATGAATGAATGAATGAATAAATAATTAATTAATTAAATAAAAATACATAAATAAAAATTAAATAAAGAAAAAATAAAAATAAAAGAAAATTTTAAAAAAAGGGGAAAAAAATAAAAAATTTGAAAAAATGAAAAGAAAATTAAAAAAAAAGGAAAAAAAAAGAGAGGGAAGACTCTCGTGGTTCGTGCGGGGGGTAAAAGGAGCCGGCTGCAGGGTGCGAAGAGCCTCAGTCCTCGGCAGCCCGGCGCTGCCCCGAGCCCTGCCCGCAGCCGCCGGGAGCCGCAAGCGGCGGCCCCTCCGCGCAGCCCCGCCCGCAGCCCCCAGGGGCGAGCGCTCTGCTCCCAGCACGACAAGTTGTCTGTCTCACTTCAAAGGCTGATAACCTAATTGTTTCCAGAGTTTAAAAGTAATTAAGCTGTATTAAAGAAACTTAAATAAAAACCAGTTTTCTTCGCGCCGGGTCTCCGCTCATTCAGGCGGTGAGTGGGAGCCCCGTTTCTCGGAGAAATGCATTAAAAATCGTGCATTTATACAGCATATGCGAAAAATGTAAACAGATTTCGTTTTTGAAAGGGTATGGGTAAAGTGGTGGTAATTATGTATAATTAATGCTGAAGGGAAAATGAACACATAATAGGTTCCAAAGATTAAACCATCTGTAACTATCAGGGGAACTTTTAAAGTTTCTCTCTCTTTTTTTTTTTTTTTTTTTTTTTTCAAAGACATCTAGTTCCTTTCGCTAAGGATTTTTAGATGTAAAAATTCAAGCCAATGTTTGCCTCTCCGAAGTATTCTGATTTGAGAAACAAATCCCTAAAAGGTTTCAGCAATCCTCAACCTACAACTTTGAAGATCATCCAATACAAAAATAAATCGAACGGTAATTTTAACCATTGTTAAAGTTTACAGCACTTAATTTAGTTACGTGCTGGCTTTCCATTTCTGATTACACCATAAGGAAGTTATTTTACTGAGAAATGTTAAGATAAAGTATAGGCATTCCCACACATTCTTGATATTTTTTTTCCTGGCGTATATTTATTAGAGTCCACTCAATCTACTTCAATTGCTAGGTGATGCAGAATCACTGGAGCCTTTTTTTTTTTTTTTTCTCCAGCAACATGTTTGCAGGGTAGAAGCAGACTGTGAAGATGCTTATCTGCACACACCATGTCCAGCACAAGTGGATATAAATGTAAATGTTTCTCCCATCTCGGATCAAGTTCGCAGAAGCAAACCCAGCACGTTTAGCGTCTGCAAACGGAGCTAACTTTGGTGATAGCACCAAAACCCATTGCTAACAGATTTGGGGGCACTGTGTGAGCTGTGACTTCTGCCTGAGAGTGTGCCCACCCCACCAGGTACATGGTACACGTGGTGGCAGAGCCGCTGAGCCTCCCGTGCCAGTGGGACAGCTGCCAGCCCTGCAGGCTGGTTTGCAGGGCGGGTGCCTGGGCAGTGTGGGGCGAGCAGCTCAAGTGCTTAGGAGTGGCAGTGTTAGGACTGTTTGTCTTGCTATTGCATCCTCCTGGGGGGTGAAAATGCCTCGGCTGCTCCCGGTCCGAACTGCAGGTCTGGATGGTGCTGGATGTGGCTGGGGTGGTCTCACCCCAGGGGGAACGCTGCCTGTGGTGGCCAGCTGGCAATGTAAGGGGAGGTTTGGGCCGGCACCCCCACACCCTGTTTATTGCCTTTCGCTTTGAGAAGCAGGTTTATGAGCAATGGGACTGCTTTTCGAAGTGCACCCTGTGCAGAGATGCACGGCTTAACCCCTCAGACTGATGCCTGTGCTGTTTCCTCGCTGCAGAGGCCAAGCAGCTGTGTTTCAGCTTGGGGGTTCTGACCAGCCCAGGTGGAGATCCTCAGCTGAAGACCCTGAAGCCATAAAGGGGCTTGCTCCTCAGCGGCTGCTCTGCTTTAACCCCAGTAGTGCCTTTTGGGCTGCTGGCTCCTCAGGCTGCCTGGGTGAGGCTGCCTGCGGCCCCCTGAGCTCACCCAGGACTTTTCCTGATCCATGTCCCTGGTGTGCAGAGAGCGAGGTGAGCACTTGGGCAGGTGGGATGGGTTGGAGGGGAGCAGGGCTCAAACAGGGATTGTGACCTCAGAAACTCCTTTTAGGGGATGAAAGCTGTAAGGCCCAGCTTGCTCCAAGCAGTCCCCAAAGCTGTTCTCTCTGCCCGTGCTACAAAAGCCAGTTTCCTACCCGAATGCCCAGATATTTGCTGGTAACAGTGTACACAGGCAGGTGCACCATTCGCTGGCTCTGCCCAGAGTGTGCTTACCTGGCTCTCGCTGTGTTCCTGGTATAGCATCAGCCACAGAGACCTCAGCCAGAGGCTTTTTCCCATGCCTGGGAAATCCCCTGTGAAGACTCCTGTGTTGAAAAATCCCTTCTCCCCCTTGGTGTCCTGGACGGAGATAAAGGACAACACCCTTCCTCCCCCCAAGTTTGTCACTGTCCTTTAACAGAGTAAATTACCAGCATGCTTCCCTTTCTGATGCCTTTTGATGTGCTAAGCCTCACGCAGCCACCTTCCTCTGGCAGGGTGCCTGGTGGGGCTGAGCACGAGTGGGACACGGAGTTAGTGGGATCCCCAGAGAGGCCACCGAGGGCGAGCTCCCAGGGATGTGTTGGGGTGACACAGGTGGCCCTGCCTGCTGGGAGGGCAGACTGCCCCAGTATGCCTCAGTTTCCCCATTGCTGGTGGTTGTTTTGCCCCATGGCTTGTGGCAGCGGGTGGCTGCTCTGGGATCGGGTCACGGCAGCACAATTAAACAAGCCTTGTTAATGAAGGGATTGGCGGCGTCTTCCCTGATGGCATTAAAACCTCCTACCTGGCAAATCAGTCCTCCCGCTAACCTTGTTCTCCTCTTACACAATGTTTCCCTTACTGGATCTCGTTAGTATTCTGCTACTTCCACTGCTGCTCTTTCTCAGCAATTGAGAGGTGCTGAGGTGGCGGAGCCCAGGTTTGCACCTGGGTTTAGCTTTCTGCTGAGTTTGGGGAGTTGCCAGGCTAGTGAATCAGAGCCAGGGCTTGCATTTCAATGGGATGATGGAGAAAGGCTGGAAGTGCTTGTTGTGGGGTTTTTGCCCAAGCATGACCAGCTGCTCTCCTGAGTCAGTGTCCCTGTCCAGGCCAGAATGGGCCAAAAATGAAAGGGAAAGGCTCAGCTCCATTTAACATCTGTCCTTGACTTTCTGAATGTGGCAGTGGTGGCTTGAGAGGTGACCAACCTCTCCGTGGGTGCCACTGTGCTCATCTAGCAGAGGCCACCATCCCATGGTGGCTGGAGGCTGTGCCAAGCTGGTGCCCACCAGCAGCTCAGGAACCTGGTGGTGGTGGTGGCCTTCAGCTCAGCTTGGGGATCATGGACAGGGAGTGACCAAAAAGTGCAAGAGATGCTTTGCTGGGAGTCCTCATCTGAGTGATGGGAACGGCCAGAGAAGAGAAGTTTGTGCTGGGAACCTCTTTCAATCACCCCTCTGCAGGTTAGGTCAGGGCTGGGAGGTCACCTTGCCTCATTTATACACTGAGGGTGCTGGAAGGACATCTCTTTTCCTCGGCAAAACATTTTCACATCCAGGACACAACTCTGCTGCAAGAGGCAGGGCAGTTACAACCATGCCTGCTCTCTTTTTGGGGTCAAAAAGAGAAAATTAACACAGGTTGAAGCAGGGGGTCCCACTCCTTTCCTACCTGGCCGTAGCTGGGTGCTGCCTGTGCATCTGTGCCCCCATGCCTGGGAGGTGCACACGAGCTTCCTCTGGGAAACTCTTGCAATGAAGAAACTAAGAATAATATATAGAGAGAGGGAGGTGTTTTTGTTTTTTTTTTTTTTTTTTTTTTTTTTTTTTTTTTTTTTTTTTTTTAAAGAATGTTTTTCTCAGTATCCAGGCAAGGAGATGTGGCGTCAGCCCTAGGACCTGTATCAGTGCAGGTCCTTGGTCCTTGCCATCAGCAGAGTGAAGCAGCCCTTCACCTGTGACCCAGGAGGACCAGACATGGCCCCATCAGTGCTAGGGGAGGGCTGTGCCATAAAAATGCCTCCTGGGCAGCGCAGGCTGCAGCCTTGTGGTGGACATGACCCCAATCTGCTTCAGATGGACTTTTTATGGTGCTACATCACTGCGGCATGCCCCACCTTCCTCCTCCCTCTCAGCCACAAGCATGCTGGCTCCTAGTGTGAGGCTGCTAATCGATGAGTTTTAGTGCATTTTTTGATTAAAAGCACCCTGGCTCCTGCTGTAAAACTTCCAACCGCTCAGCTGATGCACGGTGTGAGCTTGCCATGCCCAGCAGCCTGATTCAGTGTCACGGGGAAGTATTTCAGGCCTGTTTGCAAGCACTTGGTGTGTGTGTGCCAGCGGGTAGGTCAGGGCTAAGGAGCTGGTATTTTTGAGGGGGTATTTGCTATCCTTCTGCATTTGAAGGAGAAAGGAAAGGAGGGCTGGTTTTTCTACCAGGAGCTTGACAGGGAACAGCTCTGGCTGCTACTCAGATCCTCCTTGTGGAGGAAGCTTTGTCTTTGGTCCCATTGATAATCAGGCCGTGTTCATCTTTTGACCTACAGAATGAGGGCATATACCCTTTAATAATAACAAACAACCAAAAAAATTTCTCCCTATCCACCCGTAAGGGAATTATCCCTATCCATCCATCTGCTTCATTTTGGAAGGCTCCAAAGCCCTTGAAGTCCACACCACCCAACTCTGTTGCCATCTGTATGTGGGAAGTGCCAGCTTTCCGCACGCAGACATTTAGGAGCTATTGCTTGAGCAATTACTTTGGAGTTACTGCTTAAATTTGTTGTTCTTGGACAGCCTTTAGGATTAACCACCATTTGGTCAGAAATTTTTTCATTTTGGAAGAAAAAAAAAAAAGCCCTGTAATAGTAATAATAAACAATTCCCTGGTTTTGACTCCTTGAAGCTACCATTGTGAACTAAGCTCTGTGCAGGCAGTAAGCAAGCATTATTTTGTGTCAATAAGCAATATTTTGTTCCGTGCACAGCCAGGAGTGCTGTAGCACAAAGCAGCCCAGCCCTGCTTTCCAGAGAAGGGCTCTGACCTTGCTCCTTGCTGTCTCCAGGTGGAGCAGCCCTGGTGTTAGCTGAAGTCCCACTTCCAGCAGCAATGAAGAAGTATCTGTGTGTATCCAGCTTGAAATACCATCCTTCAAATTTTGGCTCGGGGAATTCCTCTTTGACGGAAGCAAAGAGGAACTTGGTGAAAAGCTTTGCTTTCTAAAACTGGTTGACCCCACAAATGCATGGGAGAGTGAGCTCTGTGATTCAGACCATACAAATTCCTGATTTATCTAAACTCTCCGAGGCCTGCAAACCTTAATAAATGGGGTTTCAACCAAGGCTGTGCTTTCTGCAGCACTTACAGCTAAAAATGAGGGAATTCATATGTTGATTGCTACTCAGGGCCCCTGGGTGGCTCTTTATTGTTGTGCCGAGACAAATTCAGCAGGAAATGTGAAGTGCTCCCCCGAAATAAAGGGGTGACCTCAAATCAGCCAGAGTGCAGAGGAGAGCTGGGCTTGGTTTGTTCTTTTTCCTTCCACATAGCCAAGGTAGCTGTGTGATGGCTGTGAACAAGTACGAAAGGCACATGCTTTCAGGAAGACATGAAGTACCCTTTACAAAAACTGATTTGTTTTAATTTATCCTCCCTCTTTTTCATCCCTGGCTGCTCTATGTTATGGAAGTCTCCTTGCCACGAGTGCAAAAACACACTCAAAACCAAGAGATGTGTAAGAAAGCTGGTAACTGAAGCTACACAACCTCCTACAGCATGCACAATCAAAGAAAGTTGGTATTAACTTCATGGTTAGAGGAGAAAAGGCCTTTGAAGGAGTTGAATGGAGCTGTTTGTTTTCCCTTCTGGAGCCCTGCTCCTCCAAGGCACGCTGTCATGCTCACTGGACCTGAGTTTTATAGGTTGGACTGCAGCCTCTGACAAAACTGAATTTGCTTTAAATTACTGAAATTAGATACTTATAATCCAAAGTAGCAGCCTAGGGGCTCTCTTGTGTATTATCCTTCACTCTCAGCCCTATGCTTTGTAGTGTCAATGGAGTAATTTGTTAAGAAAGTAGGGATATAAGGCAGTAACTCTGAAACCAAGGAGGAGCACAGACCAGCTCTGTGTTTTGCTGATACTTGTTATCCCCTTACCGAGCAAGACAGTGCCTCTCGTGGAGGTAGTCTCTTCAGAGCATGTTTTTGTCAAATTTTGGCTTTGGGAATTATGATTTGAACACTGTTCTTCATGGTGTTTAGGTGGCAGCACTGCTTTCTTCCTTTCCCAATGAGGTGGGACATCCAGGGCATGGGGGGGACTCTTGGGCTGGGCAGCAGAAGAGGGATTTCCTCCTATACACAATGACTGTCCAGCTACTCCCTTTCCAACCAAACTTTTGATGAAAACGGAGTATCCAGATCTCCTGTACTTGCTGGGCCATCTTTCCCAGCCACCTTATTCCATGCTGCACATCCTCATATCTCTGGATCAGATCTTTCAGCAGGGCAGTTTTATTGGCTTCAGGGATGGTTTCTATTAACTGAGGATCTGTCCCTTTGAATTTCTAGATCAGTAAGATAAATAGTCTCGAAATTGTCAGTTTTCTCCTTCTTTTGCTTGTAGCATTATTTTGTGTGTGTGGGTAAATGTGCACATGTGAAAGACTAAATGTGAAATGCGTTAGATGGAATGGATGCTGTAAAATTTGCAAGGAAAATCTTTAGGCATGTGGACAATTTGGGGACTTGTCTTCCAGCTGAACTGTTCCCCTCCTGCTCTTGATGGTGCATTTCCTTAGCTGCAGCGCACACCCGTGCCTGTTTCCTGTTCAGCGAGGAGTAGGAAGAAGCCACCGAGGCTAACAGACACCCACGGCACCTATATCATCACTGGGCTGCGATGCATTCAGCGTACTGAACAGTAATTCTCCATCATCCCGCACTTGAATGATCCAGGCCTATTTATTACATTTCCTGATGTGCTGCCCTGAGAAGCCCTACCTGCGTTTCCCTATCTCTATATAAGCATTTAAGGGGTTTTGTTACCCAGGAGTGACTTTCACGTGAGAGCAAAGAAACACCCTCGTGCTGGCTTATACTCCAGCAATGCTCCAGCCTGTAGTCGGGGTTATGTACTCCCTGCTGTAGGGCAAACTGTTTCACTGTACGATGTGGAGCCATGGGTCTGCACTACTTAGAAGGGAAATGCTTCCTTGAGACCTCTCCTTTACGGCAGCTTTCGTGCTGCTGGTGACCCGGCATGCGCTGGGGCTGCAGCTTTGCCATCAGTTTTGGAAAACCTTTGGTTTATGAGCCTGTGCTTTAGGCATGTGAAGAATATGTAAATGTTTTCAAAGTGATGGAGCCAAGCACAGAGGTCCCCTCCATACCTCTACCCTCTGTAGCAGGACTTGTAACGTCTATGAAGGAAAAACCAACGTATTAATTTGCTGCTGCTACTGCATAGTGGGATTTATGCACGCCGTTCCCTTACTGTTAATTGGAGATTATCACATCAGGGCTCTCATATCACTAATAGAATAAATCCTTAAATCACGAAGCATTTAATTGTTGCCAATTAAAAGGCCTCTTCCTCCTCGTGCTTGCGTTGTGGAGCTCTCAAATATAAAAGCCCAGGGAGAAGCAGCTCTGGTGACACCAAGGTGGGACGGGAACAGGGCACATGGCTGCAGATGGATGTTGTCAACACATCGGAGGGAGGAAGGTGGGAAGAGGTAAGTCCTGGTGGGATGCACCCTCACTTTTTTTTCACCTGGTTCCTGTAGTAATACCCAGAGGTGTTTGGGGATGGGTGCATCCCTGGCTGGACCTTGGGGCACTTCTCTTCCTGAGATAATTCTGCAGGCCCAGTTTGTCCCAAAAAGGGATCCTCTAGGCTGCTTTGGGTATGCAGGCTTATTTACTTGCCTGGCCTGAGACATCTCGGATATTTAGTGACTCAGAAGCTCCCTCTGAGTGTAGTTTTCAAACTTATCTTTTTGTTAAAACAGAGCCTCGTAGGCCAAATTTAGCATTGAGGCATCATATGGATCATATGGAGGGCTGGGAATAAAATTAATTAATGCATGGATTACAATGACCTATAAATGTCATTGTTTCATCTCAAAGATATATTGGTACTGTAATTTTTACTTAACTCTTTCAAAGGACCACATGTGAGCACAACTGAATGGATACGGAAATTATTTATACAGCATGTTAAAGGGACATTAAAGCATTTCATAGCATGTGGTAGGCCTCTCAGCGAGGCGAAAGGCACAGATCAGCTATCCAGCTGTGGTGTGCTGCTTTGGCTGTGCCAAAGCCACCAGATGATGTACTTTCCTGCCTCTCTCCGAAATAAATGCGAGCAGGAGCAGGCTGGATGCAGACACTCCCGGGCGGGGGATCCCCATTTTTATCTGCATCTCTAAATCTGCAGTGGGATGAGGGTGGAGGTTTCATTTTCCAGCTCTTTGCTGGTTTTGTGTCCCTGCTGTGTCATCTGCCCTGAGGCTCATGGAAAAGGGGTGGTTTGCCCCATGCCAGGTAGGCATTGGTCTTTGCATAGTAGATTTGCGCAGGAAATCCAGCAGTTTTTGGAGATCAGTGGCATGTGTCTGCTGCCAGTCTCAGTGACAGTGGTGGTTAATAAGCCCTGTGGAGCTGTGCCTGCTTTGTGAAATAATAATAAAAAATAGAGAGAGCAAGTATCCAGCCTGCAGGGGCTGTAGCTCTCCCAGGAGGTGGCTGCATCCTCTGCCCACCCGCTGGGCCTCTTCCCAAACCTGGTGGTGATCACCAGTGGTCAGCAAGCACCGGCTGTTAATTCAGACATACAAAATGTAAGTAGAGATGAAACAGATGTGTATTTTACACATAAAAACAACATTTGCAAGATATGTGCTATATATACGCACAAAAATGATACATACTCATGAAAAGAAGGCTGCAGTGGATTAGATGCAGGGAGCAAAGGGATGCAGGTGACTCTTGCAGCTGTGGAAGAAGCTGTAGCTGATGAACCTCCCCAACACCCACCTAAGAGGTGCATTTTAATCCCCCCAGAGGTGGTGAAGAAGCAGTGGGATGATGAGCTCAGCTGCGTGCCTCCCATGCACAGAAAATAAGGACCATGAACTGTGGCAGCGACCTGGAGGAGCTTTGTGGTGACACCATAAACCAGCCGAGCTTTGCCCTGGGGTTTATGGCGGTGTCGTCACAGCGCCTTGATGGAGAGTGAGCCTGACCTTGTGATTCACACTTGACCATCATTTATTTGATAATCTCCATACGTTGTGGCATTGCAAACTGCTTTGCATGTGCTGGATTGAAATGGGTGCCTGAAACCTCGGCAAGGCTGGGGCAGAGCCTGTGTTTTGGGCAAAGTAACAGTACGAACCTGAGCACGAGTTTGGTGAACGGGTTGGGCCAACGTGTATCTACTTGTGTCTGAACAGCTCTGGGGATGTATCCTATTTTTCAGAAGGGAAGTTGAGTGATTTTTGGATGGTACTGAGACACCCACACCCTGTGTGGTGGACGGAGATATTTGCCGTCTGATTTAGGTCATGCTGTCGGTATCTGGCCCTGAAGCACAGAGAAGTTTTAAAAACAAAGAGCAATTTAAGGTTGAAATGTCCCAAAGTAGAGCAATTGGACTTTAGAGACCAAGTTGCTTTTGAAGACTTGGCTCGGTAAGACCCCAGGACCCCGATCACATTGGTGTTTGGAAAATCCTATGCAATGCATATCCCAGGCAGGCTGCACTGACGTTATGCTGTGTGCTCGGCATATAGACAGCCGTGACCACAGGTAGGGGGAAAAACTTGCATAACATTCACCAGAGTGGCTGTGAAATGAGATTGGGTAAAACATGTTTGGTAGGATTAAAAAAAAAATAAATAAAAATACAGCAGGATAGTTTATGTTCAGTTTTAACTGTATTTGACATTGTGATTTTCCTCTTTGGGATTTACATAATGGAGAAGATTGTAACGCAACATTGCCGCTGTAAGTACCCTTTGGCTGGCACCTTTGCTTTGAAAACAATGCGGTCAGATTGATTTTTGTTGAAGATTACAGAAATTATAAACAAGGAAGTGACATGTGCAAAGCGAGATGGCTCTGCTGATGTGTGGAGTAAAACAAATCACGGAGTCCGCGCTGGGGCTGCCAAACAAAGTGAGTTTTGTGTTGTCGGCGTATTTGCATAGTACAGAAAATGCTATCCACGTAACTGGGAACCATAGGTTCCCCTCTCAAATTCCTCTGTATTAGTAGGGTATAAAAAGGTATCGGTTTCCAAAGTAACCATAACAACATGTTTTCATGAGTTCCTGTTGAGAAGCCAAAAACCTTTGTGAGTAATAAATCAAGCAGTTTATATCTCTGAACTTAAATCTTTTATTGGTTACTGATTAACTTAACTGTGCTGCCTGACAAATCTTCATAATAAATAAGCTAACCAGCAAGCACTTAAAAATCGAGCTAACTTTGTTTAAAGGAATATCACTAAAACATGATCTACATTATAATGAATTTGGCAGTCAGCATGTGGTAATGTGCACGTTTCAACATGAATCTAAAACCCAGAAATCACAAGACATGGGGAGTTATAAAGAGATTGCTCTGCAACTGCTCTAAGTAAATATACATGTTGATATCTATCGGCAGCGTTACTTACGGGCAAAAGGGGCGAACGATCGGCGTCATCCTTCCGAAGGAAAATAGTGGCAAAACATCTATTAACGGCCAGCGCTGAGATTGCCTGTGAGCAGAAAGTTATACCAGTCATTTGCGTGATTTTAGAGGGCTGATCTCTGCGTGTCCTGTGATCACAGCCATATCCTTTGTGAGGTCAGGATCTTGCTGGCAAAATTTTGGGAGGCTTTGCTCTATTTTTTTTTTTTTGTGTGGAAGGCTTATGTGAGTTGTTGGCTTCCACAGTAACTCTACATTTAAATTAATTAAACTGTTGACAGTTAAATTGTACTAAGTAGCTTCGATATAAAAGATGATTCCCAGATTTTTTCCATGCAACTTAAATAAATAAATAAAGAAAGAAGAAAGAATCTGAGGAACTTCGTTCTAAACATCTGTCTGGGCAGATGTCAAAATGCAGAGTGTTGCTGCATTATACTGTGAGTATATGACACCATGTTATTACTCTTGGCTTAAATATTCACAATGGATTTTATGATCTATTTAAAAGAAATCTTTGAGAGTGCAAGCTCTTATCTTTTGTCATAGAACAAGCACCTATGCGGATCTAATTCTAGAGTAAATATTGAAAAATAGCACAATGTCTTTTACATCTTATTCACAGCACATGAATATTTATACGGAGGGAATTATGGATATGTGACTGTGGAAAAGATTTGGAAGATTTTTCATTGTAAATGCATTGTAGTGAATAAATTCCTTTTTGAAATAAATTCATATTATTCAGGATTGCTCTGGATAAAATCATAAGCTTGAAGCTGTATGTTAGCCAGCTGATTATAATCTAGGATGATAATCTGCATTTCTTCAAGAAATAAGAAAGAGACAGTGTCAAGGACATTACAAATCCAATAGTAATTTGGGGAATTGAGTGAGAATGAAGTAGTGCTTCTAATGCTAATATTCCAGAAACACGTTGTTTAATTTTTGTTTCCAGATTGCATATATTAACCCATTTTATTAACCTGTCTATAGCCTTGATTCAATAAACCATTCCTATTCAGCATAGCTCTAAAGCATATGTTTGCCTTTAAACACATGCTTAAATCCCATTGACTTTTTAATGCTTAAAGTTAAGCATGTGCTTAGATGTTTTTGCTTGGGTCTGTAAAAGAAAAAAAAAAAGTATACTGGGGAAAAAAGCAATAAAGGATGAAATTTTTAGAATAAGAAAGCAAACCCCCAAACTGTTCATTATCCCCCTGTATGCTCAAGAACCTGCGAACTATTTTCTACTAAATACCTGAAACAAACAGAAACGATTTTCATGCCTTATTTTGCAGTGTACTTGGACATTAAATTGCTGAGAGTCTGTGCCAAAGAACCCAACAATAGTGGGAATATCTCGCTGTTTGCTTAATGAGCAATGAATGGAAGTGTGAAGGTGAAAAGACAGATTCTGGGTGAGGGAGTGACAAGGTGAGACTGCTTCTTTATCACACCTTTTTCTTTTTCATTTTCAAAGCAGTAAAAAATAATAAAAATAAAAGCTGTGGCTGGGAATTGCTCCGTAGCTCGCAGCCAACTGACTTGCGTTTACTCCCATTGCTTGCTTCATGGGAAATGTCAGCTTGCTGCAGAAACTTTTAATTGGTTTATGAGTGATATATTCAAGCTGCTTATTTCCTAAAACATCTGTTTTTGTTTTAGTTCCCCAATGTCAAATGTTTGGTGATATCCCAAGGTAACACACTGTTTCCAAGTCATATTTCCTGGGGTATCTATCAATAAAATCCCCTTAAATTGAGCATAATGAAATTAGTACAAGGTAGTCAAGAAGTCTCCAGAATCAAGATATCAGAATGTCTCTATTCCCATTATTTTTTCTTATTGCTTGTGATTGACTGCTCTTGGGGTTTAGAGGAAGAAAAAGCCATGAGAGTTATGGCTTATTTCATCTTTTTTCCCCTACCTCTCCAATGGCCTTGAGCAACTCTAATTTGTATTGTTATGTAAATTGGAATTAAGCCAGGGGAAGCACAAGCCTCATGCTGCACCCAATGGCAAAATCCAGTCATTTTTTGACTCGGTGGATAGTGAGACTGAAACTTGCTTGAAGATTTGTCCTCTCCATGTGACAACAGGAGTCCTAATGTAAACAGGCAATTGTGAGAGCTAAAATGAGCAAAACATTTATAAGAGGTTTTCATCTGCGTGCACAAACACATATCCATTTCCCACCATCCTGTGGCTTGGGACAGAAAGGAAAAATGCATTTTTATATAGTAGTTATCCCTCCTGATACCTGAACATACGTAGGGGTCTTCTATTTGGACCCCAAAACATGCTTAATTTGCAATATTTATCTACTAGGTGGCCCAAAAGCCACTTGGATCTACATTCATCTATCATTTATTCTGAATTTTGTTTTTAAGCTTTGGGGGAAAGGAATACTTGAGAAGTTTTTTCCTGAGTTTAAGGAAGTTAATTAGAGGCAGAGGCTGTCCAACTGAACTCAGTCAAAACAAAACCCACCTCAGGACTAAATCAAGAAAGTGTCACTAATCAAAATAAGCCTGAAAGCAGAAGAGGAGGGGGAAAAAAATAAGTTTGCAGATTAACTTTCTTACCAAACTCATTTGCAACCGAATGAAATGAAGTTATAAGGATAAAATTCTCAGCAGATTTGCACAGCACAGTAATAGCCTTTATGCTTGGAAATTTATGGGCCATGGACAGTTTATAAGAAACGATGTAGTTCATCAGAGAAGCAGACTGATGGAGCACATGGGAGCATTCTGCACAGGAAGTTGGGTTTTGGAATAATACTTACTTTGATAGAGTTGTTTTGTTAGCTAAGTAAAACAGTAGGGAAGCCAATGGCCACTTAGGCTTCAAACATAAATATATATTTATAAGTCACCCAGCTGCTTAATTGAGATCTCTAGTGTTTTCCCTAAGTATATCTTATCCAAAAAACAGTAACACAGAAAATAACAACAGCAGCAAAGACCTGCTGTATGCTGAGGTTCATTTAATCAGTCAGTAGTAGTTAGGGGGAAAGTAGAGCATTATTTTAGGGGCAGATTCGTTGAGGCTCCCAGAGGCTTTTCAGCACGAGTTCAGGTTGGGCTCAGATTGCTCCCTAGAAATTTCCTCCCAAAGAAGTAGTGGGATAGGTGCCTTTTGCCATACTTCTGACCTTTTTAGTGGCTTTTCCTCTGAAGAGGAGACCAGTGCAACCTGTATCTGAGTTGTGGTACCAAAAACTTGCAACGTGGTTTGGAAAGATAGATGTTGGGGTTCTTGCTAGAGGCTGGCTGCATTGAACAAGGAGGGGGAGGGAAGTACGTGGTGCTTCAAAATGTCCTCCAAGGGAGGTCACCCAGGAAATGGCTCATTAAATTTGAGCAAAGAACTAGGAAATAACATTTCACACTGCTGGACTAGAACAGCCTGGGTGTATTTGGTATCCCTAGAAAACACCTGGGAAATCTGACAAATTCTGGGGAGCTTTAGGAAACACTCTGGAGGCTTCACAAGGGTGCTTTATTTCTGGATCATGCCTCCAAGATGGGGTATAGGGTACAGCTTCCCACTCTGGGCACCCTGGGGTGCTGGCCAGCTCCCCCCAAAAAACTGGCTTTGTGGAGTCCAAGGTAGGTGGACGCTGGGGACTTGGGCTCAGCTTCAGCAGCCAATCCTCTTTCTTATGTGTTTTTCTCTTCCCCTAACAGGGGTAGGTTTTATTTATTTATTTATTTTAAGGAACCTATCTCTGCTCAATCAGGGCCTCAAGCACAGGGTAAGATCTAAACACAGGTTACAATAATATATTAAATGGGGACCTCAGAAACATTAGAGGGCCTCAGCAGCAAAAAATGGACAGAGCTGTGAAAAAACACACTTGATGGCCACGTACTGCTAAATACTACTTGCTAAGCACCAAAATATCACAGAATTCCAATCTGGTCAAATTCTGGGGGGATTTTGGGCTGCATCTGTGGTTGGGACTATCCTGAATGTTCACCACAATGCCCAGCTACTGGAACAATGCTTTTTAGTTGATATTTTTTAATTTCCCTTTTTCCCTCCCAGTTCTCAAGTGTATTTGTGTTCAAACCAGGGTTTGCTCCTTATCATGTTTGCAGCCCATTTCCTCCTCCTGTTTTATAGGCAGTGAAGTCTAAATGGTAAATTAGTGACATCTTCATTATTATGGCAGCAGAGTGCAGTGCCATCCGAATGCTATTCCCTGTAGGAGCGAGCAGAAGGAGAAGCTACAATGGAAGCGAAAATGATCGTATTCCTGTATAAATATCTGAAACCACAGCCAAAAACTGCTGTGCAGCTCTCTAGCTTTTCCTGTCGCTTCATTTTACCAGCTACGTGTGAGCAGGAAGGAAAACATCTTGAAGAGCATTCACTGGCTTCAACAGCATCCTCCTTTCTTGAGACGCAGCCGATTTTATCAATAGCTGCCGAGCCACGCGGCTGGAAATAGGCACTGGTATTTCAGAAAGCTCGGCTCGCTGAGGGGGTGGACTCTCCAGATTTATAAGGAGCTCTTCCATCGCTGTTCGCACCTTCCTTGGGAAAAAAAGGCTGCCAGTAAAAACGCCCCAGAGCTTACCAGACAGTGCGAGCCAGACGCTGCAGTGATTTGCTGCTCTTCCTTTCTTGTGTGAAGTAGGGGAAGCCTTTCAGCATTGGATTGTTTATTTTGTTTGGTGGCAGTTGCCCAAAAAAAAAAACAAAAAAAAGGTGGGGGGATCTTAAATAATATAGTGGTTCAGGCAGCTTGAAGGTGTTGAAGAGAGCTGCCTGAAATCAGTTTATAGCAAGGTTTTAAATTGTGGTTTTGGCAAATCCAGAGCAGCAGGTTCATTTCCCATCCCACAGAGCTTGCCTCTGTGCTCCAAGTTTGCCCCCAAACTGAACGTGTCTGTGAGTGTCAGACCATCCTGGGGACACTTGCCGCTTGTGGAGCAAAACTGAGGGACTCTATGGTTCTCCCCTCTCTTTGCCCCCTTCCGTGATTCCCATGGGCACACTGCTGTAGCTTCTGAAACCTGTGCTGGAGGCCACCTCTGTGCTTGTGCTGGAAAGGAACATCCACATTGGGACTATTTCTAATGGGAACCTAGCCCTTCCAGGCAGGAACTGGAGGTTTTAGCTCTGTCACTGCTTGATGTCCATAAAAAAAAAAAAAAAATTGTGCATGCATTCAGGGGAGCTCATTCTTTGCAAAATTTGGCTTCTGGTTTGCTCTGGGACAGGTAACACATCCTATAAGTTTTCTATCTGAAGGATTTTTTTTTTTTGAGTTAGAGATTTTATTTTAATCAGACTTTAATATTGGACAGCTTGAACAAATCTCTAGTTTGTACCCAGAAGAACAACAAATAAGGTAGAAAGAAAACAACTGTTCTTTGTAAGGGGGAAGATCCTCATGCCTGAAGCGTGACACAGCATTGCAGTTTGCGTGGCTCTGTCTGAGTGCAGTGCTGGCGTGCCAGTTCTCCCAGAGAGCAAATCTACCTATTCTTAAGCAAACAAACAAAGGCCTCCTTGGGAGTGATATCAGCTACCATTTTGCTTTCCTGCCCCAGGATCTCATTTTTAAGGGTTGTTTTTTTTTTTTTTTTCCATTTTCATTTTTTTTTGTTTTCATCAAGGGGTGTTTTTTTTGTTTTCAACTTGAGTGGGGGTGCTGGCAGTCTCCTTGCACAGCGTAGCTCCTAAACTTCACCGAAATTTTGCTCCTGTTCCCTGGGAATCAGTGACATGACAGAGTCTGGTGGTGGGACAGCTGGCATGGCTCAGAGGTGCTGGAGCTGTAGCGGTAACCATCTGACCCAAGGACGTGTCATTTGGCTCTCTCTGCTGCTGTCCTGGCCTCCTGCTCTCCTTTCTCCTCATGTGACGTGTCCTCTCTGGCGTATTCATCCTGCCTTTGGTGTGTCATGGCAACTGTGTCAGATCTTTTATTATGACTTTTTTTCTTTTACCCTGCGACTGAACCCCGTCTCCTGGGAAATATGGGCTGAGCCCAAAAGACGTTAAAGTGTCTGCCAAAATGTTTTTTTTTGAACCTATGGAGAAACAGAAAAAAGACAAAAAAAAAAAAAAAAAAGGTCATCCCATCCTAGTTACGGCCACATTGTGTGACTTCCATCACGTTTGTAAGGTGGATATTTCCCAGATTATGCAAAAGCAGTGTTGCAGAAGACATGACACAGGGTATTGAAGGAGACCTAGGGAGGTCACTGGTCCACCCCTTCACCTACACAGGAGCAGCTATTCTTGGGCCAAACCCAGAGTGGACTGAAGACTGGCACGTGTGGCTCTGTTTGGTGTCCATTCCTCTAACTGCAGTTGGACCCAAACACTGGGGAAAAAAATTTAAGAAATTAAAGAATGTGGTGTTTTTCCCAAAGCGTATTGATCTGTTGCATTATCGTCATGAGGCGCAGGAAAACCAAAAGCATCTAACTCTCCTTTGTCACAATCTCTCTCAGTTTTGTAGCCTGACGCTGCTGCCTCAGCATTTATAAGTATATCATGGTTGTTTTCTGGGTGGTTTTAAGTTATCGTGGCTGATCTTCCTGCAGATTCGCTGGTTTCTGTAGGAGCTATTGTGCACATACCAGTGATCTCTGTTCACTGAGCACCCATTTGTTGGAGGCAGCCAGCATTTTGCAAGTGGTGGGAGGCCGTTTTGGACTTTTTCATCTTTCAGATGTAGCAAGCCTAGAGGAAACCAAGACCTTGTTCTAACCTCACATCCCACTGGGTCCTGGGGTCATCATGGGATGTGGTCATCAGGAGTGGAAAAACAGCAGCTGAGTTAAGAAATACATTGCAGGCAACCTTGCTTCCTAACAAATTTGCTAGCAGGTTTTCCTGGCCCATCAGGTGTGGGAAATGACAGCCTGAAGAGCTTGTTAAATGCCAGGTTGGTGTTGACTTTTCAGTGAGTGGGAGAAAAGCAGGGACCAAAGCTCCTGGAGGTGGCCATGGTTGAGTGCTCCAGCAACAGCATTAGGTGCTGAAGGGAGGGGGAAGAAAAAATCCCCGTTTTCAAGGGAATCTAATTGCTCTGAGTGGAGGCTGGAGGGATACTGCAGTACATTTCACGAGAGTTTACATAGTTCTGGATCCTCTGCCACTTAGAATGGAAAAAAGAAAGCCAATCTGTTTGATCAGGCCTCTCCCACTCGATATGTGTATTGGATTCTACATTAAAGCTTTTAACAGTTACGTACACATCTGAGCTGGAGCTATTGTTAGCCCATGTGATGGATTAAGATCAAGAATGTTAATGTTATCCAAAGGAACGCTTTTTAATGTATATTGCAATTGTATAAACAGGGTCACCAGAGCTAAATGGGATGTCAATGACCTATGAAGATCATAAAGTAAACAAAAGATCTTAAAATAAGCATGTAACCTGAACACGTCGGGGATTGTTGTATATCAAAGGCATTTGCTTATATAAAGTAAGGGAAAATTACTTACGGGTAATGTTGTTTGCCACAAGTCTACCTCTTGCCTGCTCTACAAAGGAAACCTACCCGGAGGGACTGGGGTATGTCTCCATCCACCAGGAAGCACCAAGCCTGCGGGTCCTGGCCGAGCAGAGACGAACTTTTGTACGTGCACAATAAACACACACTGAGATCCCAGGGAGCAGCGATAAGCCATCATTCCTGGTGAGCAGCACAGCTCCTCCTGTGAGGGAGGATGACCCTCCTGAATGCCTAGGTCGGGTGGGTTTCAGAGCCCTGGTGACACGGGGAGACCATGACAAGTCTCTGGGTTCAGCCAGCTGGGTGGGAATTAGCAAATGTCAGGTGGTAGAAAATGCCAGGAAGAGTCTAAGCTGGTTTTCTTGTTTGTTCATCTTGATTTTTTTTTTTCCCTTCACTAAGTACATTAGCAGGACTGATGTAGGGCTAAAGAGGAGAGGGACTCTATCCTGGAATGATAGGACAAGGGGTGATGGTTTTAAACTAAAATAGGGGAGTTCTTCATTAGATATAAGGATGAAATTATTTACTATGAGGGTGGTGATGCACAATATTTAACTTCATGAGAACATCATAAGAAAATGTTCAGTGAAGTAATGGTGTACTATGCTTACTCTGTATAGTAATTGTATCAGTTTGTTAATAAGTGTTCTTGGGAAAAGTCTATGCTGGCTAGTTCATATTTTCTTTTTATCAGATTATTTACTTCCAGCTTTCTTTTTTTTTCATAGCAGATTAAAATACTGATCTAGAGTAACCCACCTCTTTAAAAGAAAACAACACTTCCTTCCCCTTTCCTGCCATGCTCCCCACCCTGACCTTTTCTGATCCCCCAGTTCTTCACCTGTCCTTCGTAAGTCTTAGGTTAGCCTTTCAGAGGTGGCTGCAGTTAGCTCCTTAATTGCCATTAGGTGATGTTCACCAAGCCCAGTTGATCTGGAAGTACCTAGTTTACTTAACTAGCCCACTGTGAATTTATTCTAGTGTGGTGTTAGGTTGGTAGCTTATACTTTTGCTTCTGATTTTATTTTTATTTTTTTTATATGGTGCAGGGGTATGGTTGATCTTTTCAATAAGAATTGATGGAAAGCAAGTTGGAGAAAATAGGGGATTGGTCAAAGATTTTATTTCCCACACATGCTATTTTGTTACCTGTACAGAAAAGCTGCTGGATAGGAGAGCTTCAAGAAGGTGAGGACATGACTATTTCATCCTTTAACCTCTGTCACTCTGTGCCTGAGAATATGATCTGGGGTATCAAAAAGTCATGCTGGGTAGCAGCACAGGTGAAAAAAGTTTATGGTAGGGCAGGTTTGAGTGCTCCTCTCTGAGTAGCTGAGCACTGGGATGAAGGGATTTGCAGTTAATGAGTGATCCCTTTGCCTGCAGCCCTCATCCTGATCCATGCCATTTGTAGTCTTGCAGTCCTGACAGAGCTGAGTATATGAATGCAACCATGAGGCAGTGCAATGCTGCTACTAAGAAGCAAGGGACTGAGGAGTGGTTTTTGTTCTCTATGGTTTGTTGCTTCTTTTCATGTCTAAGCAGACATTTCTGTGGCTTCTCTCTTTCCTTTCTTCTGGGGCTGGAGTTCCCTAAGCTGCTCAGGAAGGCTGATATCCAAGAGCCCTTCCCATCACCTCTGGAGTTTTGCTGCCATTTCAGTTCCCCTTCTTGCTGCTCTAAGCAAGCCCCAGCAGGGTCTGTGACTCCTGTCCTGAGGCTGCTCTCCTGGTTATGCTCCCTTTCTCAGGGTCAGGAAATCCTGTTTAAGGCAGAAGAGGATTGCGAGCCAGGTTCTCCAATATACTGAGAGCAAAAACCTTCTTTCAGCTCTTGGAAGAAAGCTCAAGGAAGCTGTTGATGTTTAAAGCAGTTGCTTTGGTTGACAAGCTGCCCAGTGGTGTCCCTGATTGTTCTTGTGTTACCTCCAGGGGTTTCTTTGTTTTGGCTTAATTTGTTTTTTGTTTGTTTGCTTCAGAGGTTAGTTTCCATTTACCTTTGGGAATTTTCCATTACGTTAATGTGAATTGGAATAACAGTGCTTCAGAAAGACTACGTAGAGAAATACGGGCTTATTCCTTGGCTACTGAGAAAAAGATCATGACACTGATAGACCCTTGGTCTTACAATTCCCATTAGGTGTGGATATAGTTCTGATTTCTTCCTGAGATATAAGAACCAATGCACCAAAGGGAAGGTGAATCACCCATATACAAAATGGCCCTTGCTACTTCAGTAGGCTCTTCAAAGCACGCAGAAACTCAGCTGTTCTCCATTACAGATATTACGATAGTAATCAGCAATTTAAAACTCTTTCAATAATTGTTAGCCCAAAAGGTTTTGTTTATTTGTTTACTGGCATTGAATTATGGTTATTATCAGCTCTGAATGACATTCAGCATTCATTCTGCAGCTCTGTCTGTTTTCAAATATTTGGGGATGTCCTCGTTAGGATGTTTTCAAGGCAATTTCATTCACAGCAATTCCAAAGCACGCGCTCTGTATGTGATCAATTAATTACCACTTGTAATCAAAATTTTTCTTAACATGAAGAAACACAGACAGCAAATATGCCTTAAACTGTCTTTGTTTTGTCAGGAAACGACCTCCCAGCGTGTTTTAAAATATGTGAATAGGTTTGTGCTCTACTGAGAAGCGTTGCTGTGTGGCTTATCCTCCACAAAGGGCTGCAATGAACAGGACTTTGCATAGCATTTATGATGGTGGGGCTGGTGACTGTGTTATGGTTTTGGTCTTCCTGACTCTAGAGACTCTTTTAGAGGATGTACGTGATGCTGTTTTTTTTTTTTTTCTGATAGGTACTTAGCACTGGAAACATGACAAGTGCTCAGAAGCAATTACAGGGATATCAAAGAAAGTTCAGCTTAATTAATAAATTTTCCCTGCTGGTAGAAATTAAGCACGTTTTCACATTTTGTCCAAGTGATTTAGGAGCAATGTTCACGTTTCAGTGGAAGCTAAGCATCAGATGTCTTCAGGCATGTGTGTCCACCACAGTGATGTCTAGGTGCTACTTCCACTGTTTGGCACGATGTCTACATAGTGGGTGCTTATGCAAGAGAAGTGACTGAACTGGAATAAAACAGCTTAAAAGGGAGGAGGTGAGTCTGGGGGTTAAGGTGAAGAGTTGCTTGGGAGAGATTAGATTATCTGCCCATCACAGGGCTCTTCCTGTTTGTTTGTCTGCATCATTTTCCAAAATATCTGGTGCTGGCCTTTGTCAAGATAAGATGATATGCAGGTTAGATCCTGTGTGGTCTTGTCCATCGGGAAGGAAGGGCGTTTGGCTAAGTTAAGAAGCTGAGAGTTGCAGAAAGCTGGTCTTGAAGGGAGCTTTCAGCTGAAGATGGATGAGCTCCCCTGCTTTGTGGACCCGTTCCCCCTGTTACCTGATTTCTTTATGACAATCTGGCAGTCGCCTTAGCTGGTCTCTCACTGCGAGACAGTCAGCGCGGCACTCACAGCGCTGCAGGAAAAATGAACCCATTCAGACCAAGTAAAACACTTGGAAAAACATGCAGATGTCTTTTTTTTTTTTTTTTTTTTGGTAATGGATTTTTTTTGGTGGGTCCCAAGTTGCGCTTCCTCTTAAGGCTTTGCTTACAAAGACCTTTTTGTGAAGACTGTCAACCTTTTCACTAACTTTGGCAATTTTCTTCTGGCACCTCTATCATAGAAGAGGAGAGAGGAAGGGGCTGATGACAGGAGCCCATTAATTAAAATTAGATACTGTTTTAATATTGGTCACTGTCTTGAAGCCGTAGCAATAGCAAAATGCCTTGGTCTTTTTTCTTCCCCCACCTGGATGAAACAAAGAGGTGAGGTTCTACCCTGCACTGAGCCACCATCCTGTGCATTGAAATGGGGGTCTTGAGAGATCTGGCTGAGCTTTCTGGGTTGTCCGGGCAGATTGGTACCATCTGGAAGGCTGGCTGGGGAGGGGATTTAAAATCTGGACCCTGATACTGGCTTTTGAGTCTTCCATTTTTCTAAAGTAGCTTTTCAGTGGGAGTAAATGACTCTAATTGTATTGAAGGAGCTTTACTAATTCACACCAGCTGAGGAGTTGGCCCCTGAGGTCTGGGCTGGCCTGTTCTTTCTGTGTCACTTTTTTTTGTTTTTTTTCTAAACCCAACATTTTGGATAATAGTGTAGAAATAGAATTCCTGGCTGCTTTGCAGTCAATTTGAGATGCAGCAACACCTTTTGGGGCCAGTGTGGCTTTCACCAGTGGCTCTGCTATAAAGAGGCTCTGCTAAATATTTCTGCCTGTGGAGATGTCTTATTTGCCTGTTCCACCTCCATCCAGGAAAGGGACGATGAGATGGTCGGTTGAGGCTGTGGCAGCGCATGCCTGATGGTTCTCGCTCAGATGATTTAAGATGTTTTGGCCCTTTGTAGCAGTAGAATGAGTAGAAGGAAAAATACAGCTCTCCCTCTGCTTGTTTTGGGGTGGTTTAAGATTTTGGGCTGGTTTGGGGTGGTTTAAGATGCTGAGGTAGTGGGGATTTTGGCGCTGACTTGATTGCACAGGCTCTGCTGTGTGGGCATAAAACCCCAGGCTGGAGGTGCTGAGGCTGGAAGCACTTTTCACAAATTTTTGTGCAGATGAGTGTACAGCACAGCTTTTCTTGAGGTAACCAGAGAAAGAATATTGCAGTTCAAATGTTAAAACTGAAGCATGTCTTTACTTTGCTTCTTTTCTTCTTTATTCTGCCTTAGTTGTAGAGTCCTTTAAAGAAGGAATAAGAAAAATCTCCTGCTTGTCACTCTTTCAGATGGTATTAAATGACCTTGTTGTGAAAGAAAAAGCTAGTTCTAGGTAGCAGCTCTGAAGCTTTATTGTTACAGTCCAATCCTGCTCTTAAAATGAAGAATAAAAAATACAAATGTATACAAACAAGGAAGACGGGGAGAAGATGAAAAGAGTGCAAGATAAGAAAATGCTGCTTCTGATGCTTGCAGCTCACTTGCTGGAAAATCAGTTTGCAATATTTCTGCTTGTTGTGAGCTTTAAAGGAATTGGACCAGATGCTCGGCACATGTAAATCTTGCTCCGTTGTATCACTCTGTACCTGGCCTGTTTTCTTAGCTTTCCTCCAGTCAAAGACTTGCAAGAGGAGATTTTTTGATGGCTGAGAAAGCCTGACCTTTATTAGGCAGGAGGTTAGGAAGAGACAAAATGGGAGATGGAAGAGACAGACCTAGAGTGACTATTAATAGGAATAGAAGTTTACATCTCAGGTGTTGCTGAAGGATTCAGCTGCACCTGATGATCCCTATATCCTTATCTAGAGCAGAGCTGCTCTGACAGGCATGCTTCTTGTTTCCCTCCCCTCAGAAGGCTGGGCCAGCACATCTTTTAATATCTGCAGGCAATATAATCAGGAATGGCTGAGCACCAGCGGGCAGAGATGGCCAGGATGCTTGATGGGGGCTTGTTCGTGTAATTGTGGTGGAGGTGGGACTCGCCTCCGTGCTTCTCACTGCTGCCGCTGTGTTTGCACCTACTCCCTGCTCATGCACAGACAGCCTCTCTTGTATGAACACCACCCTGGCATGGCTAAAACGGTCCTCTGACCTCACTGCACATTTCTCAATAACCATGTCGTTTCCTCCAGTTGGAGCCCATCAAGTTGTCATTACTCACTTGGGTTTATTTTTACAAACCATTTTTACATAGGATGTATATGTGCTGAGGTGTCTGCCTGCTGCCTTTCACCTGCTTGGGACAAGGAAAGACGTCATTGTGAACTTCAGTACAGTGGTTCCTCTACATAAATATTTTATAAAGCTCGCAAGAGTCCTTTGGGGTTGCGAACGATTTGTCCCGTCAATTCAAAATGTTACCTAATACCAATAAATGCTAATAAAGAGCTTGTAGCTGGCATCATGTACCAAAGCACTAAGTATTTGTTAGGAGTCACCTGTGCAAGTGCAAGGCCAGCCAAAATAATCTCCTAATCAGTTATAAAAAGTCTACAGTACTTGTCAGGAGCTCAGTGTGGGGCAATAGCATTGAGAGTTGTGGTTTCTGGCTGAGGCACTAAATCTGTTGCACATGGAGACAAGCCAGAGCAAAAGGTCCTCACTGCGACCCATTCTTTCCACCATTTGGGGCAGAGGGTGGAAATTTGAATTAAGAATAGATAATTAATTCATGTTTATCACTGCTATAGAGGGAAGAGTGTCAGGTATGCCGTTTTGTGAGGATGCATCTATGAGTGTTTTCCAAAATTGCTGTCTCTTCCAGTGTGCCAGGAGTGTCTGTGTGCTGTTTCTCATGTGCATTCAATGGCACGTGTGACTCAGCATGCATGAGGCTGCTCAAGGGTTATCTCAGGGTAGTAATTGTTCATCAAAGGCAATCTTCATACCACGTAGGAGGTTTTCCCATGTGAGGAAACTCCCAAATTTGCCACTAGAAGTTGCTTTATGGCTCTTGGCTGGGTAGGGTAAAGACTTTGCAGAGAGGAACAAGCCACTCTGTCTTCCATGTTCCACCTAAGTTAGTACTAAAACTTTATTTGATATGTCCGGTGACTTAGGACTTTAAAGACCCTTTTGGCCTACCATCATTCATGGGTAAGTATGTCATCTTTCTGTGCACTTAAGTGGAAAAAGTTGAAGTCTCTCCAAAGAATATATTTTTGACCGGAGCTGGAAAGTTTAAATGGTGACTTTTCAGGGAGCTTTTAATAGGAGTTGAAATCAGGAAATATCAGAATATGGCTCCTGAAGTGCATTCTGTAATCAAAGGGGAACATACTTTTTTTTTTTCTTTTTTTTTTTTTTTTTCCTTTTTTTTTCCCCTAAGCACGCACTTACTGAGCTTCTATGATGATTAATTAAGGAATCTTTCTTAGGTTGTTCCATCTCAGAGTGATAGGTGGTTATAGGGGTCATAACTGTACTGTGTGCCAAAGTTTGCTTCTGTCCCAGGGGAACACAGTAGTCTGTGTGACACGGTGGGACTGCTCAGCCCTATCGCCTGGGATGGTCCCTGCTGGTGTTTCAGTGCTAGCAAAGTGATGCTTTATAGGATTAGGAACAGCTTTGCCCATTCAGACCTGGGGTGCTTGAGTTTTGTGTAGCCCAGAAGAAGGGCTATGTCTGGCAGCCCCTTCCTACTGTTCTTTTCCCCCAAGGATCTTCAGGTCTGTGCTTGGGAGCTTGTAGATTGGTAGGATTTTTCTAGTTGTCTTCAACCTTCTGTCTGGTGTTCCTGTTTGTAAATAAATAAAATAATGATAATAAAAAAAGATCATCAGATGTATATCACAAGCATGCCCTGTGTGAAACCTTGTGGCATCTGATCACGTTCTTATCAATAGAAACGGGGGGAGCTGCATTTCAGTGGTGTTTCAGGTGCACATGGTTTGTGTTCAGGGCAGCCTGAACATGCCACGTGGCAAGAACGGTTGGGCCCATCTGCCACCAGCCTTCACCCTGGCTTTGGCCAGCACTATGGCCCTGATACGTCTTAGAGAGACACAAGAGTTTGCCAAGCATGCCGCCAATCTGTGTGGTCCTGAAACTCAGCGTTTGGGCAGGCAAATTCTGTTTGGTGTTCCTAAGCTATGAATTTGCCTGCCCGCAGCTGAGGCTGCCTGTTTGAGCCCTTGCTGCTTTGGCTTTGGCCTTCTATAAATATTCAATCGGTGTAACTTTTTCTTGGAGCAACAGGCAAAAAATAAAATAAAATCAAAAATTGTATTTTAAAAATGGTCGTCTTCAGGAAGACAGTATAATATTTATGCTATAGGCATTCCCACAAACTAGGATGGGTTGAAGTATGCTTAGCCTCTGGTTTATGAAACTGAGGTCAAACGTGACATGTTTCCAGATGACAGATTGTCAGGATTGCTTTGCCAAACCACATTACCAAAATTCTAGTCCTTTGTGCTTCAGCACTGTATTTATTTGGGTTGCAGTTTGAAAGTGGCAGGATGAAACCTGCTGCATCTGCCGTTTTTTATGTCAAGGGTAACAAAGTGTGTGGTTGGCATGACTGGACACTAAGATTTGTGCAGCTGTTCATGGTTTGTCTTCATTTTCTTGTCGAATTTTTACACTTTCTCAAAGAAGGAGGCTTGGGATAGAAGGAGACTTGAGGCTGTGTGCTATGGAAGAGGTCACAGGTCTGTAAGAGGGCTGCACAAAAGGAGGCCCCGAGCAGGATATGGGGTGCGCTGATGTCACTTGGACTCCCCCAAGGCACCAGGCAGAGCTGAGCCTGCTCACTGCTGGTTTCTTATGAAATTTGGCCAGGATGTCTAGCAGAGAAGTAAGAATGACCAAGCAGCACTGTGTTACCAGACCAGCATGTGAGCAACCAACCAGTGCGAAACAAAGACGTGCAGCTATGGAATGGAAGAGGTTTTTCTTGTTATTTGCTAGGGGCTATGTCATTATCTGCACATGGTGAGGTCTCGCTCCTACCACACTAGTAATGCACATGTCTTTTTGGCTAATCCTGCAGTGACAGCACGTGGGTAGATGGTGACTGAAGAATGGTTTCCCTTGCTCTGCTAATGCTTCGATTCCAGCGAGTGTAAAGCTTCAACTCCAACCAGGTATTGCAGGATTTTTTTAATTTAATTGAAATTTCTTTGCAAGACACTCCAGAGTAAATACCCTAGATTGCAGAACACCGTTGGTAATATGGAACATGTGATTTATTTTATTTTTTTTTTTAACAAACTGATCCGGGAAAATGTTTCCACGCTGACAAAAACAGAACAAATGTAGGTCAGTGTCTGAAGGAGATGAAAGAAGCCAAGTGTAATGAGAGCCTATTGTTTCATGCTGACATATGCAGGAAGCTTGTGGAGAACGAACATCAAACTAAAATGTGAGGAAAAAAGAATAGAAGGCATGAAAATCATCATACTCAAGAAAACAAAGAGATCACAGAAAGTTAAGGGGCATGCTAAGAAATCTGCACTAGGAGGCTAAATAAATGAGTTTCACATTTCCCCTTCTCCCTTCTCTTCGATTCTGGGTTTGTCTCTCCCATTTGTCTACTAGGTAGCAGCCTCGTCTTCCTTCCAGGAATACTTTGATTTTTTTTCCATCCTATCCTGCAGATGCCAGGGCCTAGAGAGATCCAGATGGCAAACAGACCAGAAGAAAACGCCTCTTCGCTGTTTCACTTCTCGTTTTCCTCTCAAGTTAAAACACATGAAAGATCTATTGAAAAGAACAGACAAGTCCTATTTACTTTTTAATAAGTAAATTTAGTTTACTTATTTAACAGAAGTTAATCCACTGTTCAAACAGCTGGAATAAATATGAAGAAGCAATTTAGAGTCTAATTCTTTGCTTGCGTTCACCAGTCTTACAATGGTGTATTTTTTTGGACTTCAGAGGCATTTTCCTGACTTGGGCAATGGGCATGGAGAATTGGACCTTCGTACTAATTGTTTCTGCCACCCATTGTCATCTGTAAACATATTCCATGGTTTTGGCTAGCCAGTGCCTTCCCCAAAATTTCAGCATGGATCTAAGAGACCTAAATCAATTCTCAGCTTTGGAATGAATAGCTCTGAGAGGAGAGCATTGCGTCCTGAATGTTTATGGATGGGGCACTGGTGCGTTTTTTCCTACTGACCACTTCCTTTACACAGAGCTTTTTTTCCATCTCTGGTAATAGAAAAACATCTCAGTGGGAAAGCTGTCTGCCTAAATCCTGCGATACCCCATTGACTTGAGTCATGTCACTGGGGGCTGCCCCAAGGGGGACTGCCCTGGTGACTGCAAGTGTTCCCAGGATTGTCCCTTGCTGTACCCTTTCTTAAGCAGGCAGGATCCCAAATTTCCACCCTGTCAGACTAACAAAGGAGTCCTGTGACAACCTGATGGGTGTTCTGTGTGCTGCTGTTTCCGTGTGAGCTCTGAATTCCCAGCACCATGGAAGGCATCATCCGATGAGAGGTGCTGGTGGGCCACGATATTCCTTAGAGGTTCAGTAGTTTTTCACAGTAAAGTTGGGAGCCCTGGCAAAGAACAAAAATTTCCTATCTGTCATCCTTAAAATGCAGAAAAATGAAGCCCAGATTTTTGGGTTATTTTAGGGCAAAGGGTGATGATGAGTGTTTCAATGCACTTAGTGATACATTTAAATTGGTGATTTATGCAGCTTGACATTGACTTTAATTTAGCTCATGTTACAAGTAAAGTAATTCAGTCCTTAATGAAGTGTACTCCATATGACATATTGAACATGCGATCTGACAATCAGTGGCTTAAAACCAGCCTAGGTAATATTTTCTTGTGTCAGTGGAAGTGGGCTGTCAGTTCATAAACCGAGCCTGAGGTATGCTGGCCTATCACTCTCACTGAGGTATGGTGCTGAAGCCTGGGACAGACATGCATTAAAATAAACTTTTCTAATCAGTTGAAGGGAATGGGGGTGGTGGCGGAGAACGTTAGCCGAGCTGTTATATGGCTGAAAGTGTGATGTGCACATGTGTGTACGCATACATATTTACTTGGGATTTGGCTGTGTAAGTGTAGAAAAAGGGTTGATAACAGAAAGATTCAGGCACCGATCTGTGCGAAACTTTGGATGGCATGGCAGAGGAGGGAAAGAGTTTGGTATGCATGTTCCTGAGTAAATTGATAATCTCTGAAGTAGTACAAACTATGCTTACCTCAGCTCTTACGCAGGTCCAGAATAAGGCTCTGTGGTAAGTGATGGAGAGCACAGCCATGCTGGCTTTGGGGATGGTTCAGGGGACTTTATGCATCTGCATTTCAAAGGCATTAACAGAGCAGCTCCCAACGGTAAATATGCAAATCTTTTTAACATTTGTGAGGAGATTCATTCTTGCTTGCATACAGAGAACGAAGCAGAAGTTTTGAGTGATTCCAGTAGGCAACACTTAAAAATGAACAAGCTTGCTGCAGCCTGTGTCAAGTCACAGCTGTGTCATTTCTTAGCGCAGAAAGTTGACTAAAAGTAACGTGGCAAACTTTTGCTTTCTGTGCAACAAGGCTGGTTCAGACATCTACATCATCCTCTTCTTTCCTTTCTTCTTATTTTACAGAACTGCCAAGAGTACATTTCATGTAGGCGAGCGTGGGATTTGGGGGCAAGAAAGAAGGCAACAAGGGGAATTAGATTCTGGGTCAGTTGTGAAAATGGTATCTCCCCCCTCACCCGCCTGTTTTTTTTTTTTTTGTTTTTTTGTTTTTTTGTTTTTTTTTTTAAGTAGGGGGGGTGAGGGGGAAGGACAGATGTTGCTGTGTCCCAGAGCTCTTTCTGGGAAGAGGAGGACAAAAGTTGTAATAAAGGAGAACTTGTCAGCTGAAGGCATGTCTTTGCTAAAAGGGAGGAGTGTGGGAAAGATGTTAGCTTGGGTTAAAATAGCACTGCAACTGAACAGCCTGAGTTTTAACTCTGGCTAAAGTGAAATTATCCCGAACTCCCCCCATCAGCGTGAACTTGAGATGCTGATCCAAGTGAAGTGCCCCTCACCGAAGCTACCTTGATTTTATCGGTGTTTTATCCCCAGGCGAGGTATCTGCAGCAGCCTGCCTGGTTTGCCACGTTGTTTTGCAGCCTGCAACACTTTGTGCTAGGGGAAGGCAGGATCACGGGCAAGGCAGTGGGAAGCAGCTTGCTTTGAAGAGAGGGTGAGAGGGGAAATAAAGGTGGCTTTTCACCAGCTGCTAGTCGCCTGAGCAGTGAGCTGCAGGTCTGAGCTCGGCTGGTGCCCTGGGACGGAGGGTTCAGGTCTTGGGGCAGAGTCACCGGTCAGAGAAACAAAGGTGCATTTATTTAAAATGGGAGGCATGCGGCTGCTTCTCATGCTTGGTTCCAGCAGCTCTTGATTTTTTGGGGTGCTTAGCAGCCTCGGGGCTTCTTAGCTGGGGAGAGAATAGGGTTGGTTACAAGGGAGAATGGGCAAAGCAAAGATTGAAAATATCCAGAAAAAAAGTGAATTTAAAAAAAAGTAAAAAAAATAAAATTAAAAAAAAAGAAAAATGCAGTGAAGGATCCTCAACTTTCAGGGTTATATAAATGCTTGTGAATAAGCATTTGATCTTTCACCCTAAGATGTACTTAATACAATATATCTGACATCTTGCTGTTTTCATAACCATGCCTAAAATTCTGGAGTGTAGCAGGGGGCCTGTGGAGACCCAGCCCCAGAGTATGACACTTTATTATAACATTATGCGTGACATGGGTTTAGTTTTCTAAGGAGCAAAATGCAGCATCGTACATCAGAACCCAACTGGAGAATGGTCTAATTGTTAATGAAGTATTTGTACACTTTCATCCAAATAGTTGATTGATCAAGGGAGGGGTGTTTGACTTTTTGGTGGAAGACATGGTAATTAAGTAGAAACAAAATACTTGACAAAAAAAAATAATAAATCCCAGGAATAGACTGCAAAATCACAGGTTCTAGTTCAGCCCAACTCTATACAATTTCATACTTGATTTATTATGTTTTAGTCTGGGAGCTTCAATAGTGTCTAAAAGTTTGATAGGCAAACCCCAATGAGATTCTCCTTGTTCTTTTGAAAATTGCAGGAATTTTCTATTTACAGCATCACTAGTGATCAATGGAATTTTTGGGACAGTTCAAGAAATATTAAACAGGCTGAGTTTGCTCTTTATGAATTAGCCTGGTGTTTATTCAGCAGATCATTTTTCATCGAAGCACAGTATTAAAATTTCACTTGTTTGTTATAGGGTTGTCAGAAAGAAATCTATTTCCAAAAATATACATTTCCATCTCCCAGTACCGTTTCTTTTTCTGCTGTAGCTGAGGTTATGTCAACACTCCCAATGTAAACCCCCTCATTTCAAAGATTAGTAATGCTGGCATCCTTAGCCTGGACTCAAGCATAGCAGAAACATAAAATAGGAGCAGGTTTTGAAACAATCACTTTCAATGTTTCTGCCTCCCGTACGAAGTGTCACTCTGTACAGAAAGCAGTTGTGTTCAGCCTCTGCTGCAAAGTTACGGTTGGAAGAATGAAGTTGAGTGGACCTTCATGTTGTCATTATACCATTAAAGCACTTGTGTCTCAGAAGTTTAAACTGGCTGCCTTGCTAAGATTTAAAAGTCAGACCCTGCTCAGGCTCAGTAACTTTTTCCGAAGGGTTGTTTGCCATGCATAACCATAGTAACATCACACGGGGCCGTGCCAGGACTCTGGGATGGTGCATGCTTCCCACTTGTTGCCATCTTTTGGGTCCTCCCGTAATATATACATTTTAAACAAGTATACAGCTGTGTATTTGCTTAATCTGGAAATGTTTTGGCATCCCCCATGGAAAAATAAGGGCCAGGCCCTGGACGAGGCTTAGGAATGCCAATGTGGTGCTGTAGATTTCATTGTCCTCTCTTTCTTTATCAGCCTTGTTTCCAGCCACCCAGTGGGGCTGAGCTGGACCAAGAAGGAGATGGTTGTAAGCAGTGCCTTTCTGGTACCAGTTAAGCACCTGAGGACAAAGCCCTGAGCATTGCAGAGCTGCTGCACGGCTCTTCTTTGTGGTTCACTGGTTGCATGTGCAAATCTGCTCTCGTGAGCTGGGGCACCCAGCATAACCCAG